GTTCAGTTGTTTTCAGTATTCATAGCTCCTTGCTTTGAAACCACTGCCTTTGGTTTAGGCCAGAGGAGAATTTATTTCCAAATGCTTCATCCTTGCATTTGAGTCATTAGTTTTGCTGTTTTCTTTGAAGCACGTTTGAAGGCTGCTGTATGTCTTTGGCCTGGACTGGAGAAATTCCTGGGTCATCAAGCCTAGTCTTGGCAATGACCGTCCTAGATTTAGACAGGCTTTTTGTCCTCCGTGCCCTGATGGTGTGGCTATCTGAGAGTCTCATTGTTCTGCTGGTTAAAATCTGTCTACTCATTTTCATCATGTGTGTGTTCATGGACAGGTTAGACTCATTTGTTCTGGTGCTCACATCACCTTGGCTTACATAGGTTTTCCCCCTCCCTTACACTTATCTCCTCAGTGTTTTTGTGAAAGCAGTCTCTTTTTTCACTTTCATTTTGGTGTGCCTGAAACAGCTAACTTCACTAAGATCCTCTCACATAAAACATTCCTTTCTTAACTCAGCTTCAGTAGCCCTTCTGTGGAGTTTATGCATCCTTTTAAAATAGGGCTGGCCAGGACTGCCACAGAATTCCAGAAGAGATTTCAGCTGTGCTTTGCTGCATGTTGTTTAATCAGTCTGTCCAGGAAGCACCTTAGTTAATGTGTCCTGGGATCACAAATGTCTTTTTCATGACTGCATCACATTGATGGGCCACAATCATCCATGATCAAACAATGCCCCCAGGTCCTTCTCTTTCTTTGTTTTCTTTCCAACTGATGAGTTTCCAGTCTATAGCACATATGGGTTGTGAGATTTTTATTGCTCTAGGTACATGTTCTTGTACTTTAAGCTTTGAAATGTCATCCCATTTCAAGGTTATCCAAATTTTCCTGTGTGATATTCTCATCTTCCTCTGCATGGTAGTGTTCCCAACTTTGTATCATCAGCAAATGTCCACAGTGTAAACCTTCTTTTATGCCAGTTCACCACGGATTAAAACATCAGACAAAAGTAGTTATAAGATTGGGTTTTGAGGAATTCCACTAGTAGCCTTCTTTTAGAAGGTTAATATGATACGTTTTGGTTTGTTTCAATGCTAAATGTCATTTTGCTGAAGATCTGCTACTTTGTGTTTGCAAAGGTAGCTATCAGAAGAGAGTAGGTGTTTATTCTGTAATGTGTTTTCTTCAAACTGTCTTTTGCTGCCTTGTTAGAAACAGTGTATGTTACAGTGCTAAGTTTTTCAGGCTTTTAGTTACCTTATAAAGAGTTTGCGAATAACAGTTATTAGTCAGTAAGTCCCCTGTTTATGAGGGGAATCACCAAAAGTTTCCGTCTGGTTGAAACAGAAATTTGAGAAAAAATGAATTGCTATAATATGAATCCCATTCAACACCCACATGATTTTTCACTGTTAAGGACTTAGCATCATTAAATATTTGGGTTTGTGAAGAAATAGCTCTTGAGTGAACTTTAGAAAAAGCAGATGTATTTTTAGCCAGGGTTTTAATCAAAGTCCATATGTGTCCACTAAAGCAAAATATTCCATAATAATTTTGAGGTTGATTATATGTTTTATACTCTTATTAGGAAATAAATTTTATATTAAATATGCACTCCATTTTTAAAATAAAACTTACCAGCAGTGCTTCATTTAAAAGACAGCGTGAACTCAAATCCAGTATCTTTATGAAAAAATCTGCACATCTTATTGCAAGTGAAAACAAAATGGAATAAAATGTTTCTACTGTTCTTATTTCTACTCTTTCTTCCATAGGGACAAATATATAAGTTCTCCTTTTTGCTTACAATCATTCAAAACAATTAGTCAGCATTGAGTGATTTTTCTTAATGTTTATAGATTTTCTATAGATGAATCAGATTCACCTGAAGTATGCCGAAATTATTCCAGTGCAAGGCACTGGTGTTTTACATGTATTTTCCATGTGGAAATAACACAATATGCCTTAGTTATCTGACATGCCTAGACTTACTTTTGAATTTGGTCAGTGTTTGTGACATCTGTGGACTTCATTCAGGGGCTGGTACCTAGGAAAAGGAAGGCAAAACTTTCTCTGAAACCATGTTCTCATTCCATGGGGAAATCAGTATGCATTAGCACGGCAGAGAGGGCAAACTCAGTAGGATCTGTAGTCAATACAACATTAGTGAAGCAGAGAGTTAAGTAAATATGAATGAGCCAGTATGCATAGGTATGGTGTTATCATAATGAAATAAGAAGAACTCGATTCCATTTGTGAAGAGGAATCTTTAGTAGTATAAAGAACTAGCTTGCTGTGAAAGATCAAAGAAATCTTGACTCTGCTTTTCTCTGTACACATATCTATGCATACTTTTATAGGGTCCAATCCAGTCCACCTTTCCAAGAAAGCCAGACTCCAGAAACTTTCAGCTGTGTTAGCAGCACTGATATTTTTGCTTTCTTAGTAGTGGTTCACAAATAATATTTATCTGTTATATTCCTTGCAGTGTGCTTGCAAACAATATCAATTGTCTGAAAACAGGGATATAACAAAATAATCTTATCTTTGTGTGAGGGAAATTCATGTTACTCTTGGCCTGTGCAGGGCAATTGTTATAATTTATGCTGAGGGGCATCAGATGCTCTACTTTCTCCTTTGCGACTGCTTCCTACGAAATGACCGTTCTCCATAGCACATTGTTTGAGTGTTAAAGGACAGCTTTTAGAACAACAAAAGACACATTTTTTCCTGGCATGAAGACAAGCACAACCCTGGGTCCTGGGTGGCATTACTGTTTTTGCCATTAAACTCTTAGATTCTTCACTGTAGATGAGGGAAACAAGTTCACTGCTTGTGTTCCTCAGGCAGTCTAAGAAGGCAGATATCTTAATCCTAGGACAGTTTTAAATATTCAGCTTTATAAACAGTTTTCTTTTTTAATATTTTAATTTTAGTGTCACTGAAATGCATACACTTACGTAATGCCAAGTATCGCAAGTGCGTTGCCTGGAACTTCAAGATTATGATCTTCAGCCTGGCTGAAAAATATAGGACGTCTCTCTTTCACGTGTCATTGCTAGTGAGAGTTATCTACCTGTACATATCCGAGCGTCTGGTTTATGCATATCTGTTGATGACAGATCCCATCCTCTGTGGTTCTAAAACTGTGGTGCCAATGGACCTTTGTGATCTCAGGAAGGTGAAGAGAGATATAAACGAGACTGAAATTTGTCCTGGTTAAGACAGTTTAAAATATGTCAGGCGTAGTCCCAATTTCGTACAGTAGAGTTATGATCTGAATGTATTCAGAGGCAAAGCCTCACCAGGTTCTTGTGCAGCAGGAACTCAGTTTCCTGAGTTAGACCACAAAGGAAGTGACCTTGTGCTTAACTGCATTCCAGTTGCCAACGTCTTGATCTACAGAGAAGGTGGCTTTATGGTTTCTATGGTTTGTGGGGTTATTTCGGGCATTTTGGAAAGTGGGGGATATTTTTCTTGAAAGTTATTCTTGTGTTATTCCTTCTGGAGAGAAAACGCATTGTTTGTGAAATACATTTGTACAGTGAGCTCCTCATGAAAAAGGCCCATGCGTTGCAAGTATGTATTCATTTCTAGTTTTTAGCCAAGGAATAGTTAGTTCATTAAGACACATGTCACTGATCACATGATTAAAGCTACCCGTTCTTCTACATTTGGTAGAAAAGCAGGATTATGAAATCAATATTAAATCTTAAATTTATTTATAAATATTCAATCTTAATATTAAAATAAGTTATATGAAATTAGCACTTGCAATTAATTGCTAGCTGCATGAAATTACTTGGAGTTAATCTATGGATTGTTCATTGACTGTTCACAGCAGACATTATTTTAAGGATTCATCTTTCAAACTCAAGTTTTTAATACATGTAATCCTGGTAATACTTGTGTATCCCATTGTTTCCTCATTCTTCCTGAGCTTTGTGTTGTATAGTTTCTATTTCTTACAATCTGGCATCTCTAACATTTTTATTTACTTTGTGCTGTCCTGCTTCTAGAATGGATTTCATTATTTGAGACAGAGAAAACTATTTTGAACTACCTTTTCAAACCTGGTCGTTTTAACCAAGTGCACTGACATAAAAGGGAAAGATTAGCATTTACATCAGTGGACAGCAGAGGAGATTAGGAAGGAGGATGCATCTCATCAGCTGTACACATTTGTAGCGTAGCTCTACATCTGAGCTTCATCCCTATCTCCTCTTATACCCTTTGGAAAGAAGGCTTCTATAGCGTGACTCATTTAATTTTTATATGGATGTCTAAAATAGTTTAGGTGAATTGCACCCTGAAAGAGCATATTTCTCCCCATGGAGTGTAGGTGGAACTGAGGGGAGTCAGATCTAGAGCTGTACAATGGAGCAATCAAAAGTTGGGCATAATGAATTCCATCCTAGGCTACCAAGTCCACTGTTACTGGCCAAGCATCTAATATTTGCTTGAGTCCCATTGACTTAATCAGGACCCTAGAGCATATATCAATGCATTGTAATTTATTTTGATAAGCAGAAGATTTTACTGATTGTTTTCCCGAAGCTTTTTGCAGTTGTAACCATATTCCTGTAAAAAATCAATAGTATTCCTGTAAAAAATCAATAGTATTCCTGTAAAAAGTCAATAACATTAAATAAGTTGAAGTACAGTGTTTGAAGTCAAAGCTACCATACGGAGGCTAGTATAATTTTATGTATACTTTTAGGTGCACATTAAAAGAGAATTGTACAAGTTCAAACAGCCTAAAGGGTTGGTATAACATTTCACATGCACCTGATAAAGATCTGAAAATCCTGCTAAGTTTCCCTGCCCCAAATCAGGTATGTACACCCAGTTTTATGTGTGTTTGTTTATTGTGACTTAAAATGTGTCATTTTGTTGCTTATTACAGCTTCCCTTCTTTTGTCACCGTGTTCTGTGTATTAGTCCCTCTTATCTCAACAATTGGCAAATGTATTGGAAATCCCAGTAAGTTGAATGTGTCAATCAGATAGACGTTCTCTTCCTCTCCTATAAAATGTATCCTGAGGCTACACTTCATGATGTCGAGTCAAAAATTCACTATGCTGACAAAGGCAACATTTCCGTTACATCACTTCATCAGCTATTTTAATATTTCCAGTGACTGTATATCAAGTGCATTATGTAAGTTCTGAGCTTTTTCACAAGTTACAAAACATTCACTGGGACACATATGGTAACACAAATACGTCTTTAAGTGTTTGATATTGCTATTTACTCAGTATCTGTTCACAGCACACACAGCCTTGAGTATTTGATTATCAAGTATTGTGACTGGCCACTTAATCTGCATGCTATTGTTTCTGGTTTCCTGATTGAATGCACTAATGTGATCATATTTGTAAAGCACTCTCAGCCAGAAACAAAGGATAATTCATTACAAGACAAATTCTGTTTCATAATTAAATGCACTTTGGTTATGGATGCAAACGTCGTCTCTCTGTGAGAGTTTGTACATTCTTGCTCAAATGTTTTTAAGGGAATATAACAGCATATAACAGTATTATAGATAAATTCTTCTTTTAAAATCCAAAATTATTCCAGATCGCTCCCCTCATGTACCTTACAGATCCATTTAATTTCTGGAAGTAAGCAATGCTGTTCCTTTCAGGACTTTTTGTATTGCTGCTTCAGTTGGGAGAGGCCCCCTCCTTTGGGAGGCTACCTAGTGAATTGTCTGCTTCCACCACAAATATTTTCATTTTGTACGTTTCATAGTTTGTCATTTTCTGTAAAGACAAGGTGACAAGGTAACAAGTATTACAAGAAATCTGTTGTATTCTTGTTTTTATTGTTTTACAGGTTGCTGTGACTGCAAGCATAAGCAAAATCCTTACTTCCTGTGTGATAAAAATTGTAAAACCTGTTGAAATATTTTATGAAAATATAGTGCTGAAAAAGTCATCCTGTTTCTGCAATCTAACCACTCTGGTCGTCACAGATAATGGTATGTTTTACTATTACATGTATTTAATGCTTATTCACTGTCCTTTATTATTCAGGAGAACTGAACATAAATACAAGCCTACTGAGTGTGGGAGTAGGTAATGCTTTTTATTAAATGTCATTGAAAAAAATATTCCTGTTTTGTCAAATGACTTGAGTATACTCACACTGTTCTTGGTAATTAAAGATTTGTTAACATGGAATGCTTTCTAGAAGTAATAAGACATGTTAACCTATGGCTAGAAGCACCTTCTTCAGTTCAGCCTATCGCAGTGCAGTCTTTCAGCATTAGGAGTATATTTACGCGGTGCCATTAGTCGCTGTCTGTGGAAACTTAAGATAGCTGCAGTGACAATCAGGCTGGCTGGACGTTGGTCCTATGCTGTGCCTTGACAAATTAACCCATCTTAACGCTTCTCTTATCTGCGAACATAATTGTTTTTGCAAGAAACTGTACTAGCATAAGTAAGAGGAGAATCTAACTCTGAACGTCTGTACAATAAATAATCTTAACATTCAATTAACTGTTTCGACCTCACTTAGACACTTGTGAGAAAGTGGTTATCCCATGTAGAGAATTAGCAGAAAAGTACATGGCTCAGGGGCAATTTGGTGGGTACATCTTTTTTACTTGACTTCATTCCTCTTTCTTAATTATTGGTTGAATCATTTTGCAATAATTCTTACACTACTTTGTTTACCAGTAGTTCTCAGAATTAGAGGCCTGAGCCATTTGTGTTGGGCACGTGATGCATGTGATCTGTTTTGTGCATCTCATGGGCAACTAGAAGTTTTAGAATGAGGTGGTAAATTACTGAATGTCTAGACTTTTGAGCTGTTCCCTGGGCTTTGGTCTCAAAGATCAGATGATAATCTTTTACAGTAGAGTCTTATTTGACTAATAGGAGGAAAACGTCCCCCTTGCATTGTTTCAAGGGTCTGTATAGAAACACAGAGCTTTTTTAATACAGGTTGACCTTATACCTTTTTTAAGTTGCTTCTGTTAGAATACAAAAGAGAATTTTAATCTAAACTAAGGGACAAAGATAGCAAGTACAGAGATACCATATGCTCTTAAGTGACTTGAAGAGGAAATAGAAAATTCAGATAAATGCCTGCCTTTATCTTTTCCTAGATAATATAGCCCAAAAGACATGTAATACTCTGCATGAATCTGATTCTCTTTTACCTTTGTGTAGAAAGAGGAATGAAATGTTAACCAGAATTTACGATGACCTGTTCTGAAGAGCTCAGTGCTGCAATGAGCTCTGTCTCTCGGGAACCCTTGCCCCTGAATGAGGTTCCTTGGAATATTGGGATCTCAGGAGCTTATCCTTTGGCCTTAGTACAGGAAAAGCTCCTCTGGCATCATACAAGTGTTGTGTATCACGTTCCTATCCAATATTGATTTGGGAATTGAGAAGACAAGACTTTGTCACTAGCATGTGACAGCTAGGGTTATATCCATGAGTATTCTGGTCTATCAAGCTGTCTTTAGTAAACACTGTTAGTGGATTTTTAAGAGAGACAAATGCGTTAGAGAAGAAAAAAAATGTCCTTTATTCACTGAGTTCTAAAAGCCACATTTTCTTATAATTGTGGAGTACCTTGTTTTGGTCCTCTGTCTTCTCGTACTAAGGCTTTCTCTTACTCCATTAGCAGGTTTTCAGAGTATAGTGTTACGGAAGCTAGCTCGCCTTGCCTGTGCTTTGTGCCAAAGATGAGCCCTTTGACAGTGTTAACCAGAAGGCTGTGAGCTTAGCTTGTGCCCACCAGTATTACTGCCATTCACATGTTCCTGCGAGCTGAGATATAGTAGTGGATAACGCAAGTGTGGAAGTTATGTTGATTATTTGTGGTACCTCATGTAATGGGACCTTAGTCTCAGAAGAAGATGCACTTGCAAAACTCCTTCAGGTATCATTTCTGGCAAAAAAAAATTTTGAAAATACCTGCCACTCAGTGCAGTCTGGTACGTTTTGAAAGGTCAGCCCAGGCCATACAGAAAATAATAGGTTCCATTAAATTCAACACAGACAAAATCAGGAAACCGTATTTGACGGTCTTGTTTTTAAAGTATTTATACAAACTTAAAAGAGGAGACAAGCTCTGCCCAAAGCAGATAAATTCCTTGCCTTTACTTATTACTTCTAGTAAAATATTAATTTTCAGTAGCTCTTGGCTTGAGACCCTTCTCATATAATGACCTAGGCAAGTGGTTCAGGCGATTTGGTGCCTAACACGTCAGATTTCTGTAGATACGTAGATTTCTGGAGATGCAAATAGGTGAAGGATTTCAGAATGTCTGTGTGTGCTCATCGACATCTCCAAGCATTAAAATACCTTTAAAAACCAGACTCTTTTCTATCCATTTAGTAAGGTATTGAAACATATGACCAGTCTCAAGGGCTGTTTCCAACAAGCAGTGCAGGTGACCTTTGCAGCGAGCACCCAAGTGCCATGCTGATGTGTGGAGCGGGAGATGCTTCTGATTTAACAATGTAGATGTAGTCAAAGGTGGTTTCCATCCGGGCAGGCCAGCCTGTGATAAAGACAAAGCTTTCTCTACCTTTGCAAGGCAGGTATACTTTAAATCTATGTAACTTTCCTGGTTTAAAAAGCTATCTACTTCTTAGCATAGAGAAGCTAGAGAAGTCTGCACACATGTGTTTCATTTGATCTCAGACAGTCATTCATTCTGCAGACGTACACATCTGCAGGCACACAGATGAAAGGGACCATGGCTTAAGTGGTATATATCTAACTCTGTTTTTCGATGTGGTATTCTGCTCATGGGAGAAGATACTCTTTCATTCCACAGCTGCCAGTGAATTGTTGGTATAGTAATTGCTAGCTGAAATAATGGCAAATTGACTCATGCAATCATAAAAGATTTAAATAGGATGAAAATTGCTACAGCATAGATTACAAAAGAAGACTCTGAAACCAAGTCTCCGAGGCAGAAAGAAGGAGAAGTATGGTATGTTGGGGTCTCTTGCATTAGAACAGCCTGTTGTGTTAGAAGGGCTGAGTTCAGGTTCTGGTTGTGCCACTGTGTGCTCTTTGGGAGATGATTTTATATCGCTGCTCCATGGTAGCACTTCGCTATCTGTATCCTGATGATAACATTACTTTTGTATGTCATGCGGTGGTGGCATCAAGCTTAATTAATGAGTCTGTATAAAGTCTTGGAGTAAGTCAGCTGAAGGGTCCTATGGAAGGACAAAAGGTAGTTATTTTTATCAGTCTAAAGTGTGAGTGAATGTGTGTATGAGAAGGTGCATACCATGTAGATAACAGCTGAAGGCAAGTGACCTTTCAGCCCAATTATTATTTTTTTTTCAGTTATTTCTTGTAATATCCGTCATATGTCTAACAGTCACATTTTTCCAGATTGTCTGGTTCTTGAAGCATCGCTGTCCTCAAGCTCTTGGAATATCACCCAAACATTTCGGTTGAAAAAGTAAGAACCTGGTTCCTATTGAAGTTCATTAAGCTGTTTGGGGGAGGGGGAGTGGAGGGGAGCTGAAGTATGATCATTCTTTTATTTTTTATTTATTAAGGAAAGACATTTCTCTAAAGATAGTCAAATCCCTCTTCTTGGCCCATTTCCTCCTTCTCCTCTTTTTTCTATTGTACTTAGAAAGCTACTTCTGATAACTCTTTTATTTAACAGGACCCTGGCAGCTAGCTGTAGGAGAGTCATTACGATGACTGAATTTATGACAAGTGCCTGGAAAGATAATAAAGGATGTCACAATGACATTAAAATCATTTCTGTCCTTGTGAAAAAGGTGGGCCCCTGGTACTCAGCGTAAGACCTAGATCAGAGGAGTCAGGAGATTCTGTAAAAGTCACTTTGTGAAGCTGGTTTTTAAGCCAGATGCAGTTCAAATGTGGTCCATGGGTAACATGAATACAATTAAACCAGAAAGTAATATCTAATCTGCTAATAGGAATAATGAATACCTGTTGTTCTGTACACATTATTTTTCAGAGCCACACTCTTTGTTAAGAGCTCGCAGTAGAAAGCATTTGTGCCCAGTACATGGCCTAACCCCTTATGAGAGGTAGTTGTTAAAACTTAACAAGTTTTTTGTTAAAAAGAAAGATCTGGCTGACATATGCTGTAAGTAACTACAGTGTTCCTCTTCAGAATGCTCCTCCCCTATACAAAGAAGCTAATTCATAGGCACCTAGGATGAAATTGAACTCCTGCTTTTTGGGAAGTGGCATATCACTTCCCTGTCCCTGGAGCAACACAGGGAAGGAGCTGTCTTTCTAAATCGGAGCATTTCTCAGCATGCGTGGAGGGGCCCTGTGCTGCTCTTGGCTCTCCTCCATGCTGATAGATGCATTGCAAAGCAAGATAGGGACAAACTAGTCTCCAACAGACATATTTTTTGGTAGGGGAAGGCAATAGCAGGCTAGCAATACTTGCTAGCACATGTACAGAACAGAGGTTTAGGCAAGATGTGAAAGAATCAGTGATGTTTTTCTGCCCTTTTCTGGTTTGAATGTACTATCTGGCCACTTACGTACTGGAGAAAACCACAACAAAATGAAACCCAGGGTGTTCCGTCTGCTTCATGCTTTTTGGAAATTTAGGACTCAGCATGTCAGCACAGATTGTATTTCATACTGAATTTGTCCTCACAATAAGCACCAGAGAACAATAGGCTTGGAGGGTAAATGCAGGTTATGCGTTTTAAACATTTCATTACATGTTTGCCAGGTTGTTTGTTCTCTTGGGTTTGTACGTTTTTCTCTCACTTGAAATGTCACATTCATGGCTGAACCTAGATTGAGTCCCTGTGTCTTACAAAACCTCTGTTTTCTGTGTTACCAGCTGCTCACGGTGTATACACAAGGGCGAGTGTGCCAGCTGTAAATGGATGCGTGTCTCTCCTGCCACCACCTGCCAGGTGAAGTTTGTTGGGGAGGGCTGGGATCCCCCGTGATGCCTTCTCCTTGTATTTTTTACATCTGAACAGCAATCTGTCTCTTCCTTGTCCTGACATGGAGAAATGCTGATTTTTTTCAGGATAGTTGTAATGCAGCTGCTTCCACGGGGATCGCCACTGCACAGACAACAGAGGTTAGTTAGCATTTTAAGATCGGCGTTTTCGGGTTCTGTGGGTTGGGGGAGAAATTTATGTAAAATGAGAGGACTTCGCAGGAATAACAGAGATACGGATGGGGAGGCCGTTGGTTACATAGAAAGGCAATGCAGAACTTGGATTAGTACTGTTTTTTCTTAGTGCTTTGTTGGTGCTTAAAGGTACCAACAAAAATTAACGTTTCAGATCCAGGCATTGAGACAATGAACGCTGCAATATTCATGTGCTACCTCTAGATGCAGATGTACAATATTGCTTTAAATACTGAAGCTCCTGTATGCTGTATTTAGGCACCCCACGGGAGCCAGCGTGCTGAGGGCTGGACATGTAAGCTGACCACCAATAAAAAAATACCAGAGTAGAACACCACAGACTTAACCTCTTACCTAGGCTTAAATGCATGTTTGACTTCTGCTGTGACAGACAGCTCTGTGAAACTAGGTTTCAGAGTCTCAAACCTTTCCCTCATTTGATGCAGCCAGATCACCACTTCTCCTCAAACGTACCTGCCAGGGGAGCAGAAGGAGGGGGAAGATGTGCCACCCAGTTCCTGCATAACAGACAAGTGGCTAGAGGATGCATCCAGGAACTGAAATCCCTGGGTGTTAGTAAATCCTTGGTTCACACTTCCAGAAAAAGTTTCCTTGCTTCCAGGCTGTAGACAAAACCGGAGATGGAGCTGCTCTACATCCATCCTGCTCAAGATGGATCGCTCAAAAGGAAGCAGTGTCACTGATGCAGAGCACCTTCTAATCTGATTGTTGAGTTCTCTATTGAAAACATGTAGACTGTATGTGAGTGTACAGGCTATATGATTTGCTTCGTAGGCCAGCCCTTTAACCACGAGGTTATCCCTCCATTCATTATGGTGCCAAAATGGTTTTATTTTTTTCATAAAATTTAGTGATCTTTTCATCAGTGGTTGCTTATGACATGCAGGTGTTAGAAAAGAAATGAGTAGTGAAGAGAAATTTGACTGATGAGTCAGTACATAGAGATTTGCTGCCTACACTTTTTGGTTTCTGCTTTTCTGTGAGTGATAGCACGGTTGGTATAAATAGCAACTGTGTTCTTATCTCTAAATGTTTCGTTAAAACTACCCAAACTTTTACCGGTGAAGACAGGAATTGCCTCTTAAATTCAGCTGTTCAGCTGAGGTTTCTTAAACAAAATCACAAAATCCATTTTGTTTTTCACAGAGATGAGTGGGATTGTAATACTTGTGCTTTTGAGCATTAATATTCTGGATTTGGTCTGCATATAAAGCATTACGGCTGGTGAAAGAACAGAGGAAATTCTTCTTTGCTCTGCTTCCAAGTGCATTAATTTGACATTGGTAAATAGTTGGAATTGCCTGGGAGATGGCTTTCTTCCACATGCCTTATCTTGGAAAGACAGTGATGGACAAGGCAGCGAAAGCACTAGAGGCAGTCCAAAGGCAGATGTTTATTTAGAAGTGATTGATCCATTCAGAGGGCTTGAAATTGCATTTGAAATCCTGCTCTCCTTTGAGCACTCGCGCTTTAAGGAGAACTTATTGGAGGGCTGAGAAGGAGGATTTGTGTTTTCCCACAACCCCAGCCGAGCATTTAGATTAATACACTCTTTTTTTTTTTGGTGGCAGCCCCAGCCTTCCTCCAGACTCCAGCTGCTGGTTTCCATGCGTGCACCTTCCCCCTCCCTGCGCCGGGGCAGCCGTTGGAGTGGTTGTGCGAGTACGCTTGGCTGGGGAACTGATTCGGCTGGAAATAACCGTTTTCTTTCGGCAGGTTGTTTTTCATCTGGGCCGGTTCCCCGATCCAGTTCATCGCATGGCCTCGGGTCCTCTTGCGAGCACCGCAGGAGGGGCTGTGTCGGCGCGGAGGACGGGCTCCCTGAGCTCCCTGGGGTGGCAGAGGCTGCTTAACCTGGGCCGCTGCCAGATATCTCACTGCGACCTGCAGCCATGCTAACCACACCTCTGAGGATGTGGCTGCCACTGTTTACGCAGCCCCAGGGAAGTGTTAGGCTGTCCAGGAGATGGGGACTTGGCGGGGGTGCTGCAGCTCAAAATGTGGTGCTTTATTGAAGTTGACAGGGCTGTGCTGATTTACATTACCTGAGGACCTGGTGCAGGCTTGCTGTATGTCTCCCTGTGCGTTTATGCTGCTTCCATCACATGCCTCACGACTAATGATTTTTATAAACATCTCACTGCCTCTCCACTGTCTCCCTCCCCTCTTGCTGCCGGGCATCTCTTCCCCCTGCTGCGCAGCAACTGGAAGGTCAGCGGCTCTCTGGCGCTGCGGAAGGGAGCACCACATATCCCAGTGGGGACACCTGGTCCCTCATTTCTGTGAGGAAATCCACGGTTTCTTTTGCTGCTGAGGAAAGCCTCACAGGCCACGGCAGTCTAGCCGGGAAGCAGGCTCTTGAGCAGCCGAGGCCGGCTTGCCTCAGCGCTGCGGGTGACTCCGCTGACGCCATGAGTCTGAGGCAGGACATGGCGAGGGAGTCCATGTTGTGTAGCCGAAGAGAAAGCATGATTTCAGGGGAGGCTGAAAATTCCAGAGTAAACCATTCTTACCACCATTTCTTGTTGGTGTGAGGAACAAGGCAAGCTAAGCTGAAGCGCCCCGTGGTGTGCGCTGCACCCCTGGGCAGGGGATGCCTGGCGTTCCCTTCAGCAGGGCTCACAGCCCTGATGACGCTCAGGGGGATCTCTGTGTATGAGTGCGATATACCGTGTTACTCCTGTGCTTCAGGGCTCCCTGCTGGTTACCAGTGAGAACCCTGAAGCAATGTTTTACTCCTTTCTGTAGTATTTGGCTTCTGGATTTGTATGAGGATATTGACTGTCCTTGGTGCACTGGAGGATGGGCACAAGCAGAGGGAGATAAGCACTAGTGCTTTGCTGCCTTTAACCTCTCAGGTTTCTGCTTCAGTTCTCCTGCTCGCGTACTAAGGGTTAAACTGATCCCCAGGTCAGCATGGGAGTGAATTTTCCCCCTCAGGCTGTTCATCAGGGGGTTCCTTTGCCCTCCTGCATTACCCATACCAGAGGTCATCTTGGAGGCCCTTTTGCAGGCCCTCTGGCCCCAGCCTTTGCACTCTCTTGCCCTTTCCTAAGGCACAAGTTGCAGCTTTCGATCAGTTGTGACAGGTCTCACATTTGCTCTGGAGCGTTCCAGCATTCAGCAGCCCACAGTAGCATGTGGGGACAATGTGCTGGGAACCTTTCTGAAATGGGCAAATGCTGTTTGCAGTGGATGCCGATGTGAGCCCAGTGGTTCAGTTGTGACAGGTCTCACATTTGCTCCGGAGCGCTCCAGCATTCAGCAGCCCACGGTAGCATGTGGGGACAACGTGCCGGGGACCTTTCTGAAATGTGCAAATGCTGTGTTTGCAGTGGATGGCGATGTGAGCCCAGTGGCCCCCTCTGGCCACCAGCCCAAAGGCTTGGTGCTGCTCTGGGTACGTGAAAAGATCAGTGGGGAGAAAAACCCTGTGGCAAGCACTTTCCTAGAAGTTTTACACCGGTGCCCTTCTCAGCGTCAGGATGGCTGACCTGCCCAGTGGATGTGTTGTTCACAGGTGCACAGCAGAAATCAGGATAATCACAATACTCTAAAAACTCACTTTAAAGTAGTATTATAGGCATTCTAAAAGTAAGCTAGAAATCATTTGCCTGAGAAGGTCCCAAACAGTTTGTGTTTTCACATGCGTATTTTCCTGGGTTTTTTTGAATGTTTTCAGTTTGTTGTCTGAAAGACACAGAGAGAGGAAACCGTCTGTGTGATCATGAAACTGGGGAAGCAGCAAAACTGATTAAACATGAGATGCTGTCAAATGTATCAAGTAAATACACTAGGGAAAAAAATCTTCTTGCTTGGTAGTGTTAGTAAGTTAGAATAAATAACTATAAAGATACACAAAGAAAAGCACAGTTTAAAAATTGGCCACATTTCTGAAAGACTGTGACAGCATCAGAGCAAACTAGGATTATTCTTAAATGCTGGAAAATAGATTTGTAAACTTCTTAGCATCAAAATGGGATACCAAAAAATCCCTGCAGTTGTGTTGTACCTTTAGCTCTATGTATGACTTTGAAAAAACTTTCTAATAAAGCTAATTCTGGGGCTCTTTCTCTCTAGGATTTGACCCTGCTTCCCCTTTTCAGGTCTTGAGAGATGCTTTCATTTGTTTCTCTGATCTCTCATAGTGACGGCACCATGGATTTTGTCCAGCATTGTTTCTTAGTTCTTCAACAGTCACACAAAATGTATCATTTCAAGTAGGGTTTTTGTGGTACTTACCTTCCAGTATGTCAGATTGTAATTCCTTTGGGCAACTTTGTTATGAGATAAATTGAAATATAAAATACGTAGGTAAAAATAGTTGGCTTGTAAATAAGTTGTGATTGACAGTACTTCCCAGGATCACACTTAACAAGACTTGAAATTAATAAGAAAAATGTATCCCAGTGCCATAAAACCTGCATTCCTGAGTGGTGGTTGTTTTTGCAGCTGTTATTTAACTTCCTAGCCACTTTATAACCAGATTTTGTTTTGCTTTGTTTTCTAATAGCATATCAACATTCATTCCATTGAACCTTTGTGGATTTCTACATTAGGCAAAAGTGAAATAACAGTCAAAGGAGAAAACTTCACACGTGCATCAGGCATAAAACTAATACTGACTGGAATCACTGGCTGTAAACCAGACATGTGAGTTAAGCTCTGAAAAATAATACTATTTACTTTGCATGGTGAAAATTATGCCCATTTTTCCCTAGCAATACAGCTGTATGAACAGTTGTCATGGACCTCTCCTCAACAGAGGGGCACATATCTGCAGTACTTTAGTTAAATTTCCACTTTAAATTCCCAAAGGATGGAAATGAATTTGTTGTTTGGGTACAGTACAAGGGATGGGCAGCTCTCAGAAGCACTTGAGGCGGTTCTGTACCTGAGGCCCTCTGTGCCTTGCAGCAGGCAACAAGAAGTTAGGTCACAGGAAAGCCTCAGCTTTTGTTTGACTCACCTCGGCCTCAAAATATCTTCCATGTGTTCTAGGATTCTGCTTCTGAAAGCACAGAAACTCTGCCAGGGAAGGGAATCTCTTATGCAACAGCATGTACTTTTCTCTGTTGATGATTGCACAGTGTAACCCTCTAGATAATTAGGCTATCTTATTCTGAATCAGTCATTTTCAGGTGCAGCTGCAATGGCTGCCTGTAATTACCAAGACCATTTTACATAGCTAGCACTTGAAAAAGTATTCATATGGTACAGTTGAATTTTTAGTTCAACCATTGATTTCTTGGGGACCACAGAAAACAAAAGGAGAGAAGGATGGAGAGAGGGAAAGGAGGGAGAGAGAGGAAGTAGAGACAAAGAGAAAGGAGAGAAAGGGAGGAATGAGAGAAGGGAAGAAAGGAAGAGGGAAAGAAAAAGAAAAAGAAGAAGTAAAAGGAAACTGAAGATTCTCATCCTTGACTAGCTAATGTGTTGGTAGCAGAGAGAAGTACACTGCACAGTACACAGTTTACACAGCAAAATCACACATTGCGTTAACATAGCATCATCCCAAGGCTATAAGACCAGTATCTGTACCATCTTCTGTGATTATTGTGACACATAGCAACTTCATTCAAAAGATGCCCTACTATCTTTTCAGCTCCCTGCTCTCTCTTTCCACTTCCATCTGGCAGCTCAAAGAAAGATTCATTCCTCTTCTCTCCTCATCCTTTGCTTTAGGTTATAGGTTTTGTGTATTAACACCAATGATGGCATAGTGGCATCTGTGTTTCAGCATCTGACTGTTTTCTTTCTCCTCCAGCATTAAAGTAAGAAATGTGCTAAACGATACACAAATGACATTTACTCTCCCACCAACACGTAAAGAGGCCAAAAGTATATGTATACAGGCTAATGGGAAAAAATGTTCACCACCAATGACCCTACATTATGTTTCACTACCATCATGTTCTGGAATCACACCGAACACCTCCTGGATCAGGTAAATTTTTCTGTCTACACTTTTTGTGTATTTATTAAAATGTAGTTCCACTGAGCTGATATGAGCCTCCTTCCTTGGCCTGACTGCAGCTGATGTAAACTTGGATAACTGTGGTAACCTGTTGCAGAGGATGAATTTATGCTGATGAACTGATTTCACATTTAACATACAGATAGGGTCATGATAGCTGCAAGATGGATACTGTGTTCTGCAGGATTCTATAAACTCCTTCTTGTCCACCCCAGGTCTCCTTTGTAGAAGTCAAAAATAGTCTTTTCATACTAAAGCTAAATCCAAAATCTGGTAGCACGCATAAATTCAAGCTCCAGTTTACTTTGGTTTCTTGATACTAATGTATCCTTCACCTCTGAAACAGTATAAAGTATCGGTGAATTGGAAATGGAGTGAAAATAATCACCACTGCAGTGATACGCTCAGACTTGCTTTAGGACCAGGTTCCCTAAAGCCAGAAGAGCCCTTTTCAAGCCTCTGCTGTGTAATGTGGGAGACTTATAGCTTCAGTGAAAGACTTACAGGGTGGTTTTAAGATATTCTGAGGCACAGCTTTCCACCTGTCCCTCTGCCTGCACAGTTTTTACCCACTTTCACGTTCTTAAGCTGATCTCTTGGCCTCAAGCACTGGCAAGTGTGGGTTTGAGGTAGTAAGTTGGGCTGGCAGCTGCAGCAGCTGAGCAGCTAGGACTCGTGCCCTCATCTCCAGGTGAGGGGCAGCAGCTCAGGCAGCTGGAAATTAATAATACCTTAAACCACTCCAACTGTGTTCAGCAGAGATTGTGAGCCAGACCCTCAGACACAAGCACCATTGTGTGTGCTGAGACAGATGGTCTGAAGACTGCCGAGAATGTTTCCTGTGAGGTGCCTGGCACCATTGGTTTGTCCTGAAGAAGACAAGAATTGAGCACAGGCAGGGCTGCTCTGAGGCAGTGAAATACCATGTCTTCAAGACAGAATATTAAATCACAGTCTAGTTCTTTGGCTCCATGAATAGAAAACAAGGTGGAGAGTCCCTGAAAAGGAGTTTGCATATCAAGTCATTTGGGTTTGCGGTAGCAAAAGCATTTACCATTACATTATGAGGAAATAACGGAAGTACACTGTATAGCTGAAATTCTCTTGTCCTGTAGTTTGGCTTTATTATATTGGCTGCTACCAAAGCAAAATGCACATGAGTGGTTTGTTCATGGCTGAAGCCTTCCTTAATGCAAGACTTATCTGTGGGAAAACAGATAATATTTACTTCTCTTCCCCCCCCTTTTTTTTTTTTTTTTTAACAGTGGTGGTCGCAAAATTACTACGAGGGGTAGAAATTTTAATGTGGTGGACAGTGTGATTATTTCAGACGACCAGAGATCAAACTTCACTGTAAGTCTTAATCTCCTTTACAATACCAAATAGAGGTGTCTTAAGGGATTAGGTTTTATTCCTAAGGTTTCAAGAGGATCTCAATATTTTTCAAACACTTGCAGGCACACATCAGTCACTCTACTAAAATAAATATGACTGCTTGTAGGATTACAGTTGCACACATTCTCAGTACAGGATCATGGATACATATAAGCTACTCTCCTGCATAATTCTCTGAGCCTTTTTTTCTATGCTTTATAGACTTGCTCCAAATTTGTCCTTTTTAAACCTCCCCAGCCTCCATGTACGGAAGAGGGCATAGTGTACTTGTTTCTGGCTTTGTGTTGAGAACCCAAATGGTGCCAGTGCCTCAGCAAGGGGTAGGAGACTGGAGCTGATTTTGAGACGAAACCCTTCCTCCGAGGCTGTGAGGAGATGGGCACCCTGTTACCTCCTGGGCTTGCAGCACAGAGACCAGAAAACAGCAGCACCACCCCATGGCATAACCAACGGGGTGACAGTAGCAACTCCCCTCTACCAAGAGTTAAGCTGGAAGAGCCAATGCCTAGGGGTGCTCGAGAGCTCGTCCTGCTCTTCTCTTGTCACCTGCATTGAGGGGAAGGAAGGAGAAATCGCTGTCACTATTCCTGTCTCACTGCAGGAAATAGCTGCCTTAGCAGCGTGCAATCAGCCTTAAAGCAGCGCGCAGAGTGTGTGATAAATGTGCTTAAAGGTAGATGCAAGCTCAACACAGAAACTTTCCCAGGTGCTCTGCATGCAGCCCTGATCGCAGAGAAGAGGTTTAGCAGATATCTGTGTGAAGTCAGGAAGATGTTAAAATGATTTTGAGTGCCTCTGTTTGTAATTGTACCCACTGTTGAGTGCTTAATGACTGTTACAGCTTTGCTGTTGCATTTCTAGGTCTCTAGGTATCCTGGAAATGAATCTGAATATCATTACTTAACGCCAAGCCTGAGCCATGCAACAGAGGGTAAAGTTGTTGATATGATGTTAAAAGTGGAAACTACCTTTATACCATGTGTCAAATTACACTATCATCCTGACCCAGTGTTCATTAACTATCAGCTGCACACTGAGTTGGATCCTGATCTGGAATTAAAAATATATGTAAGTTTGAAAGTAATAACCTACAATTCCTCTTTTAAAGTAGTCATTGGGGATCATTTTACTTCTTACCGTATTTAATGACTGTTCATTATCTTCAATTTTTTCCCTCTAGAAAGAAAATGACAACTTGAATATTTCTAAAACTGAGGTAGAGGTTTATCTGTCATATATGAATGGTGCACAGACCAAAAAGATATGGTTCAGCGTTCAAAACATTACGAAAAAACCAGACCGTAGCACCATACTGTGCAAATTCAAAAGGGAAGGAACAGACAAGATTGACTTTTCCACAGTGAAGGTTTTTGTAAGTAGAATTCCCTTTTGTTGTAATTCAACAATGTTTGGATGTTTATGCAAATGTAGCAAAATGTGGCATTATTGCTCTGGTCATGAATATTCTTTATAGAGGGAGGAACTGGGTGCGTTTTTTGTTCTCCTGGTACTTGGCAGTCCAGTTCTCTTCCTCACATCTAAGCACGCCTGCCTAGCTTAGGTACCGCTAACAGTGCTGAGTTCATTTACTGTCTGGTTACTGCTGTCGTGTCAGAAGTAGGCTTTGCAGTCCAAACTGAGCTCACCGCTGCTGAGCTCCAGGAGAGCAGTCAGCAGCTTGTCAGACCTCTGCCTGCAGCTCAGACATCACCGATAAAGCATCACTGGCTCCAGGAGAGCCCCTCATCTTAGATCTGTAAGCAAGGTGCTGCTGCACGTGGCCATGAGAAAAAGCATTGTGTCCTCCCATCCACTTTTTCCCACTAAAGTAGATAAGGATCTTAAACAGTGCATAGTGGTCACTACTAAGACAGAGAGAAGGCATTTCCGGATGAAAAAGGGTGTAAAATTCAGCATGCACCGGGGAGGCCAAAATGCTATGAACATATGGCACAAAGCCAGCCCCAAATATAAGAACATTAGCATGGATGTCAAAGCTAAATGGCAGCTTAAGATATTTGCTCCATGAATAAGATGAAGATATGAATTTTTAAAAAAGCGATTGTCACCATTTATGAGGGAGAAAAATGATGCCAGACTCTTATTGCAGTGTATGGTGGTATAAAACTGAAATAACTCTATTGACTTCAAGGCATATGGCTCATAGTAAAGATTAACGAAGCTATTCTCAATTTCATATCACTGTTAACTGATCCCCCATCTGTGGATCCTGCCGTCTGAGCCAGTTATGGCATGGAAAAGCCTTTCTGAGATTGGTGTTGCATTTAAATATTAATATTGCATTGCAATATCACATGCTCATCCTGCAAGCTTCATAGGAGTGACTGTCATAGAAAGGTCACCACTTCACTAAAGCAAATCAAATGCAATACTTATAATGTAACATTTCACTTCTGGTACCTTAAGAATTATTTTTTCCAACATCAAGAAAAATGTAAAAGTAGGAAATCATCACATGTTTTTTTCAATCTTATAAATAAATCATCATAGAAGAAGTAGGGTCACTCTGAAGAAAGAATAAGCTGGGTATAAAAGATAGGTACAGCCCAAGAATAAACATATCTCTTGCTTTAGTTTTCAGGAAGAAAGAGGATATTTATTGAGTGTGGGGTCAAAGACAGGATGGTCGGTCTGAATGGACGTGTCAAAGAAGAAAATTACATTCTTGTGACGGAAGCAAGATTCAGATAGATCAAGGGGCTCAAGACAGCTGGAACAGGTTCATTCCCGTCACAGCACTGAGAAGAAACTGGCACATGATATTGCAGGCTTAGTAGGAAAGATTTTAAATAAAACTGTAGAGTCAGGAGAGGTACTGTTTGACTGGAGACCAGCAAATATAAAACCAGTATTTAAAAGAAAAAAATAACTAGGCAAATAGAGGCTTACTGATTTAATCTAGCTCTATGTAAAGCTTTATAATGTGTTTTGAATGAGGGACTCATAAAGACCTGGAGGTAAATGGAAAATGGGATAATTGTCAACTTCTTTTTAATAAAAGCAGATTATGCTAGATATCTTTATTTGGCAAGATGAGTGGTTTCCTCAACAACAAAAAAGGAGTAGATCACATGTACCTGGAAGTCATTCAGTAAACTACTTAACATGGTGATTATGAAGACGCTAGGGATTAGAAAAAGTGGATGCTGTGTATGGGGATCTGACTCTGGGCTATGTCGATTTTCATACAGATATTATTTAATATCACTACTGGCTTAAGTGCAAAAATAAGGCATGCACTAATAACATTTGCTGATGACATAAAGCTCAGAGGAGGTTTTATAATGTCATGCAGGAAAAATGAAATGAACTTAGGAAGAGGAATTGGATGAATTCAGGTGTACCTTATTTAGTCCATGATTCATAGGGAAGAAATGGGTCCACTGAATATGAAGGTTATGGTGAAGATTAAAGATAATCTATGTATGAATGGAAAATGAAATGAATGCTTTGTCTCAATTTTCAATAAGCAGGAATGAGTAACGGGAATTTCTGCTTTAGGAATGCTTTGGTTGGACATGACAAGTGGAGAATGGAGGTGTATTACTCATAGGATGATTAATGTATTTAGCCACCAATGCATTTCAGCCTTAGAAAAGGCAAATGGGATCCTAGGAAGGCTCAGACCGAAAGTGCTTTGTATAGGAACTGTGAAAACACATATACAACCAAGAAAAAAATATATTTGGTGGAGGAAATAGGTCTGCTTTGTATTCTGCTTTGTAGCCCCAGAAATAGGCTGTGTCCTTCCAGCCCTGTGGGGTTTCTTTGCTTGCTCACGTCCGTGTAGCTGCGATGTGCCTGTCCAGTTGGCAGTGTCCAGCTGCCCTGGCTGCTAACTTCCTGTGACAAGCCAGTGATTGAAATCACCAGATCTCTGCCTTCCCTGCTGTAGCCCAAAATAATTTCAACCCAACTCTCCTTTTCAATTATCTCAGGCTTATTTCTGTCCCTGGCACTTGGTGGTATTCTTTTTCTGTGTCAAAACATATTTTTACTTCCAGTCTGTTTGTAGTCTTAGCTACCCTTTATTTATGTGCTTTCACAGTCCTTTTTGAGATCCTCCTTTGTGAAATTTCTTCTGCCATAATTACGAGTGGTGAATGCCTCAGTTTGGCATCTGGCACACTTCAGGACCTCTGTGTATTCCGAAGAATTACTGCCTGTCCTACCTTTGACAAGTCTAGTGGCTGTTGGGGGATGTTGTACATGTATGTTGTATTTGTTCTCAAGTGGACCTTTGGGAACTCCCTACATCCTACATAAAGAGGTTGAAACTTCTGCAAAGAAATAGGGAAGAGGGCTGTGAGGCACGCATCTATCAAAAACTTTACTTCCCTCATTATTAGCATGAGTTTGTCTTACTTTTCTGCTCAGCAGAGTAACGCTGTGAGTGCAAAGGAATGTTTTCAACTATCGGCATGTACCTTCCTCGCTTCAGAATGCCAGAACATTTAGCAGTGATTCTGAAGTGCATGAGCCACTTGGCCAGCTGGAGGCAGATCTTGCTATTCATTTCTGGGCCCTTGTTTGCAGCGAGAGCAATGGCAAAATTTGGTGCTGCATGAGGACCTCCAAATTTTTCTTTTGTCACCGCTCTCTTATCCTGCTTAAACACCAAATACAGTAAAAGTTAAGTTTGTTTTGCTTCACATATGTTTTCCCGAATTCCCGCTGTCTTCCCAATAATCTGCAGAACCAGGGTCCTTCATGTGCCTCAAATACGTATTTTTTTTTATACATTAAATGTCATTTTAAGCACTGATATAGTACCTGTCCTGAATTAACACAACCATTATTTTTCTTCAGGTCAAATTAGGAAATTTTGAGCATGAAGTCAAACCAACATCATCACACATATATTTATATGTTCTTATTTTGCTACCTATTGTAGTGGGTGTCATTATAGGTAAGTACAATAATGCATTTTCAGGTTTTGATTTGCTGAAGGGTATAATCGTGACATAAACACATATACATACATGCATACATGTTTGGGACTGTCACAGTCTGGTGATTTTCCCCTGTTCTCAGTAAGAGTGGACAAAGTTAACTCTGGTCTGGTGGTGAAGTACATCTCAGACTATTTTTCAGTCTTGTGGTTGTTAGATTCTGTGTCTCACTGTGCATTTCAGTCTTTTTTCAGTGGTGCCCAGTGATAGGACGAGGGGTAACGGGCACAAACTTGAACATAGGAAGTTCCATCTAAACATGAGGAGAAACTTCTTTACTTTGAGGGTGGCAGAGCACTGGAACAGGCTGCCCAGAGAGGTTGTGGAGTCTCCCACGCTGGAGACATTCAAACCCCGCCTGGACGCCGTCCTGTGCAACCTGCTGTAGGTGACCCTGCTCTGGCGGGGGGGGTGGACTAGATGATCTCCAGAGGTCCCTTCCAACCCTGGCCATTCTGTGACTACAGCATGTTACAAGACAGTAGTTTTGGCTGTTCTGCTGGGATTACTCACCACCATTTAGTGAGGCAAACCATAGGACTGACATCCTTGTGTCACACCTTGGGACCTTCTCGCTGTCAAAGCTGGGCTGTCCTCCTGTACCTGTGGCAGATGTTCCCTAACAAACTGCTTATCTTCCGGCGGTGTTTGTGGTGTTTCTGCTCAGTCTCAATTTGGATCATTCATGAATTTGTAGGTCATTACTAAATTGAGGAGGGTAAGCAGTTATCCGCTCTTCTGTTTGTCATTCTCACACTTTTTTCTGAACGTTTTGACCTGGTTATATATTTGCTAAGTTTCCATTCATTGTAATAATTTTAGGGATTTGTTCTTTGGTTTGGTTTGGTTTATTTTAAAAAGTACATTACTTTTACAGGAACCATATCTTGTGCCTTTACTCTCTCAAAATAAGCTTTAGAGAAGTTAACAATTTGGAAGTGGATTTCCTGTTCAAAACAACCATTTTTTCATGTTTAATCAGTGCTACTTTAAGTAGGTTGCTAGTAGTGGAAGTGGTTGTTAGATTCTGTGTCTCACTGTGCAGATTGTGCATAGCAGGGTGTGCTATACTTTCAAATAAAGTTGGATTGACAATTCTAAGGCCTTGTTAAAAGGAATGTTTTTTATTAAATGTTGGGGTTTATGTCCAGATAACTATGGCTCATGGGTACTAGCACACTGACAGCAGTAGAAGCAGTAATTCTCCTGGATAGTGCAAGTGTATATTAATCTTTCTGTTTCTTAAAATAATATTAAAATGTCTTGTATAGGGGTTGTCTGTTCTGCAATTTCTGTACTCAGAATCCTTTTTTCTTCCTTTTTAGCGGCATTCATAGTTACTAGATACAAATCCAAAGAGTTAACTCGTAAACAGAGTCAGCAACTTGAACTGCTGGAATATGAGATTCGAAAGGAAATACGCGAGGGTAGGTCAAAAGAACTTTATAGAGCTTAACTACAGCATAATTTCTGAACTGAAACTGTCAAGAACCTCCCATTATATAAACATTTTAATTTTATGGCTGCTAGAATATTTTTGTGGTGTATCAGAGTTCCTCTTTAATGTTGGTGTGCATAGCAGTAGCAGATAGCACTGAGCTAAGAGGATTGCATGTAATAATATTTCCTTCAACAAAGGTGGGGGAAAAAAATGGATTGTTACTTTCCTGCTCATAAGAGCTTCCGCTTGAAAAACAACCCCTCTTTCCTGAAAACTGTTTTTTAAGGAACGTCTATTGGGGCCAAGTTATAATTATGAAGATGATTTTGTGGCAACTAAACTAACCCTCTGGGTGGGGCCGTGGGGCACTTTTTCAGGATTTGCTGAACTGCAGATGGATGAATTAGATGTGGTGGATAGTTTTGGAACTGTTCCCTTCCTTGACTACAAGCACTTTGCTCTTAGAACTTTCTTTCCAGAGGTAAGTATTTACGAGTCTTTCAGGTGTCAGCCCTGCCTAATAATGAAAAACCTATAAAGGTCAGGATCAAATAACTAGAGTAAATACGACACAGTAATTGCACATTGTTTTCACAAGAAACTGTTCTTAAATCAAGAGTTACCAAAGACCACTTACAGCTGTATGTGTCTATATTTAACCAAACTTAAATGCTGTAGATAAAGCACTGTTGTTGAATTTTCAAGGGTTGTGTGTGCATCCATTTCTTTTTTGCCCAGCCTTACTGAGCTGCTTGCCTCTCAGGCCATCCTAAGCTATAATTTATCCATTGCTTTTTTGTTCTCATGCTTTCACTTTCCATGCTATAGCTAATTAAAGTAACAGTCAGGCTAGCTAACATGCTAGCTAACATCATGACACTTCTTAATTAGACTTGTGGGATGAAGAAATGGCTCTAAGGTCGTGCTGACTTTCTACTCCAAGCTGCTGACAGAAATGGTTAGGACCTTGATTCAAAGGAGTGTAGGTCAAATGTTTAAAAATTTCAGAAGTACTTAAGTACTGTCCAGTTTAGAGGTAGACATTTTCATTGTTCTTTGGAGCAGTTTATGTCACTGTGTCAGAGGACTGAAGAGGCCGTCTCTTGAATGTTTTACTTCTCTTGCTATTTTTTCACGTATATGGCACATTACGATACTGATAAGTACGTTTGCCGCAGCTTTCAAAATCATATCATGATGTTAACCAGTGCTTACTGGCATTTTCTAAGCGGCAGAAGCTGTGATCTCAGCTGGTGATATTTTGCTGTGTAACTGACACCAATGAGTAGAAACCCTTGGTTAGTGCTGTGGTGTTTTAGGGTATAGCTGGTATGTATGCTGGTATGTATGCAAATTATCTACTAGTCCTCGTGTGGCCCAGTCCTGCAGTCTTATCTGCTCACTGCTTCACTTCATTGCTGTGTGGGATCCCACTAAAAGCTCATTGTGATAAACACACCTTTTTTTTTTGTACAGTGCCAAATATCAGATACCAAGGCAGAATAACATTTAACAGTTACAGATGCGTAATCTTTGTACACTTTGAGTCCAGTTGTTACACCAAAGGAAACTTGGGAAGGGCTGCCCAGGGAAGTGGTGGAGTCGCCATCCTTGGAGATATTTAAAAGCTGGGTAGATGTGATGCTTAGGGGCGTGGTTTAGTGGTGGTTTTGGCAGTGTTAGGTTGATGGTTGGACTTGATGATCTTAAAGGTCCCTTCCAACCTAGACAATTCTATGATTCTATGATTCTAAACTGGGAATATCTCTTCTGGTACTGCTGTGATGCTCCCCATCTAATTTGTATGGGGTCAGTAGGAGGTTTGAAGGAAGTGGACCAAGGAAACCTTACTTTCTGCATCTCTTTCCTTTCAGTTTGTTTTGTTGCTAGGCACATTAGCATTAAAATAATGTTTTTTATTTTTAGGAATATATCTTTTCCTAGTGATAGTCCCCTGTCAAAACAGTAACAATCTGTAGAAACTGTCTGGATGGAAATGCTTTGCTTTATGCAAATAAAAAGGAAAGAAAAAAAGGCACGAAGTCTGCCACTCTGTTGCATTGTGTGAGGTCAGAAAGGGAAGGACTTCTGTTTTGCCTTGGCAAGTCTCATGCCACTGTGCATCCTGGAAATTACTCCAATTAGATTTTGTCTCTGTTTGAAATACTGACACCACAAAGGTAAACTTGCAACGATTAGTTCTCTACAGACATGCAGCATCAAGCAAGTTTTTTAGCATACCATGTACCGATTTTTACAGCTAAGTACTTACCGTTTACATTGCAGGAGTGTCCAAACATGCTTTGTGCTGTATGAATGTGGTAGGAGAGCAGTGCTCTACTAAACAAATATTACAGATGAACAGAAAAGGTGATGGGGTAGTAGATTGCAGTCAAGTGTCAGAAGGATTGACAAAAGGGTCGAAGTGAAAAACCACCACTTCCCTCATTAAGCTCATGTGTTTGAATGATGTCTGTACTCTTTCTGCCTTTCAGTGTAAGCTCATGTGTTTGAATGATGTCTGTATTGTACTCTTTCTGCCTTTCAGTGTGTTCGATGGACTTTGTCTCGTCTAATCTAAGCTGTTTAAACACGGACATCAAAGCTGTTCACGAAACACCTTCTGTAGTCAGTGCAGAGACAGGCAGCTCAAGAAAGTGTTTCGTCCGGCTTGCCTGAGACATCTGTCTCAAGGTGGCATGAGTTGCTTAAAGAGGGAGTCAGATACCTGAAATTAAGAGTGATGGACCCCATCTTCATTTTGAGCTTCTCGCTTCCCGCTGCTTCAATTTTCTATATTTAATCTGGCTTGATGGATTTTGTTTTGTGTTTAGGGCTTGTAGGTGTTGAATGGGTATTACATCTATACTTAAAATATTCCTTATGTTCAGCCTGATTTTTGCTTTACTTGTTAGATTTGGATTATTATTTCTGTTTTCTCTCAATTTCCCACATTGTTTAGTTTAATGCTGCCGTGCGTGTTCCCTGTTCACAAGCACTGTTAACCTTTAACATGGTTCTGGTTGTTTCACTCTGCGTGTGTGTGTTTTATTGGTAGGCAGTGTTAGGGGTGCTGAAGAAGTTTTGGAAAAATGTGAATAGTGAGTGGAGGAAGAGGAGGGACAGTATGGTAGGAGAGAAGAGAACGGGAGGCATGAGGAAAGGGAGGGATGAAAAATCAGATACGTAGATGAGAAATTAGATATGAGCCAGCAATGTGTGCTTGCAGCCCAGGAAGCCAATTGTACCCCGAGCTGCGTAAAAAGAAGCGTGGCCAGTAGGTCGAGGGAGGTGATTCTGCCCCTTTGCTCTGCTCTTATGAGACCCCACCTGGAGTACTGCACCCAGCTCTGGGGTCCCCAGCATAGACATGGACCTGTTAGGGTGGGTCCAGAGGAGTGCCACAAAAATGGTCAGACTGCTGGGACACCTCTCATGTGACGAAAGCCTGAGCAAGTTGGGGTTGTTCAGCCTGGAGAAGAGAAGGCTCCAGGGAGACCTTATTGCAGCCTTTCAATATAAAGGAGGCTTATTCGAAAGATGGGGAGAGACTTTTCACCATGGCCTGTAGTGACAGGATGAGGGGCAATGGTTTTAAACTGAAAAAGCGTAGATTTAGATTGGACATAAGGAAGAAAATCTTTACAATGAGGGTGGTAAGACACTGGAAGAAGTTGCCCAGAGAATTTGTGGATGCCCCGTTCCTGGAAGTGTTCAAGGTGAGGTTGGACGGGACTTTTAGCAACCTGGTTTACTGAAAGATGTCCCTGCCTATGGCAAGGGGTTGGACTAGATGATCTTTGAAGATCCCTTCCAACCCAAACCATTCTGTGACTCTATGATTCTGTAAGGAAACTAGGGGCTGCCAGCATCACAGATAAAGCAGATGACAGTAAATGTTCCTAGTGTGAATTTGTTGCTCAAGGGTGCTGCTTTGGGAACATGCAGCTGTGTTGGGACCTTACAAGCTGTAAGAGTCAGACAAGAGGCATCGAGAAGGTATTTGAGAACTGGGGGCTTCCGTTTGTTGTGAGAGCTTTCGCTAGGACTGGATGTGTGGTGGCACCTGTGCCTCTCTGGAGACTGACAGCATGGACCTCCTGGAGAGTTCATTAGTGAACATTCATGAAGTGCCTTGAAATGAATGGAGGCAGATGAACTCAAGTGTCACTCTGTTACAGAAACCCTGTGTACCAAAAGCTATCATTGCTGTCCAGGAAGGATGCAACCCATAGCACCCCTTGCACACCAGCACATTTGCAGATGAGGGTAATAAACAGCTTTTCCTGGAGTGTTAGTTGACTGTTGTGCTAGTGCAGCTCAGCAGTGTAGCATAACACACACAGTAACACTGAAATCAATAATAGGGTCATCTTTGAGAGTTCACTTTTCAATGAACCTTGGCAGCACCTTTGCAGAAGTTATTGTGTAGGGTTTTTATATTGTATCCGCATTAGAAGGCAGCATTTCCATTGTTTTATTTCAAGTTGTGTGCTATCAGGATCATGCTTGGTGTGTTTAATGTACGTGTGTTAGGAACTTTTGGTATACATTAAGAATGATAAATATCACCTGTCTTATATTTTAGTCAGGAGACTTTGCATCCATCTTCAGTGAAGACATGCCACAGGTAAGTTGATGTAGTGTGATATGCTTTAATTAATAAGTATTTTTTCAAGAGTTATTGTATCCATTATCTCAGCGTTGTCCTAGAACACATCAGATTGCATTTTCAATATGTTCCCTTTCACCCATGAGGAGGGTTACGTGGATTTATATATAAAAAGAATTTGATATTTAAGATGCTGGTACCCAACGTATATTATGACTTACTTAAATAAAATAAACAGAATCTAGTCATGGGAAATGACAGGAAAGCTTAACTATCGGCATTACTTTGTGTATATGACAGAAAATGTATGCTCTGCATGTGTGTACTCTGGGTTGTACACAAACGCAAATGCGTCTTCCGTAAAATCCTGAGACCTGTGAAATAAATGCAAAATTCCCACTGATTTGAATGAGGCCAGGATCTTATCCCGTATGTTGCTTACCATTTTTCTGAGCATCCATCATAGCCAAACTACAGTTTGCTTATTTTTGTTTAACTATTCCAGAGCAGAGACCAAACGAGCAAGGATGAAAGCTTCAACATGTTGCATGCTTTAATTTGTAACAAGAACTTTCTTGTTACTCTCATTCACACCCTTGAAAAGCAGAAAAATTTCTCTGTGAAAGACAGGTATAGTATGATTATGCTTATCATCTTCAAGACAAAGAATTAGCAGGAAAAACCAACATGGATTGTAGCACACAAATGTAATTTCTACTTCTTGCAAAACAAGCTTGCATTACTCCAGAGCATTTTTCCATCTTCTCCATCTGCGCACACTGAGGAAGAAAAAACATTGCCATTAAAACAAGCCATTAAAGAGAAATCAGAATGTTTGTACATGTAAACAAAGAGGCAAAGGAGCAGGAAAACTCACTTCAAAACTGTAAACACTTCCTGCAGTTAGATCAACAGTTCTACAGTTTAGAAATGTTCTGTCACTGAAGCAGGTGTTATTCTGCAGAATTAAATTTAGAGGCACGAATTCTGTGTTTAAAAAATAATCACAGGAGCAGATGGACTTGCATTTTTTATATTTTTGTATACATCAGTGGACAGTTTCTGTACCTGAGGAGGGAAAATTTAGGATATGAACTGCACTAAAGTCTGTTTCATTTATTAAAGATGACTGGGAAGAGAAATTCCAGATATTATAGCATTCTTTTTTTTCCTTTTCTTTTTTTTTTAACAGATGCTTGTTTGCATCCTTCTTGACTATTGCACTACAAACTAAGCTAGTTTATCTAACGCATATTTTGGAAGTGTTGACAAAGGACTTGATGGAGCAATCAAGCAATGTACAGCCTAAGCTCCTGCTCAGACGAACCGAATCTGTGGTAGAAAAATTGCTGACAAACTGGATGTCTGTCTGCCTTTCTGGATTTCTCCGGGTACGTATACATCTTTTCAGTACGTAAGATACACAAAGAATATTTTTAACTGGTTTCTTCCATAGGAATTGTTAGAGGGATCAGTTTAAAGCATTCAACCTAACATTTAACATTATTAATGTGTGCTGTTCTGGTTTAGGTGACTCAGCTAGCTATCATTAATTGGATGTAGGAAAAAACCACATCTGTAAGTGATGATCATGTCATTTATTTGGCTGAGATTTGGGTAATTTTGCAATTCTAGCATATCCTTTTCTCATGTCAGACATTGTTTCGTCTCCATGAGATGTATTGTGATCATACTAGAAGACCGACACACTTGTTAAAATGCAGCTATACCTTTCTATGCAAGCTGTTGGAAAGCTACCACATAATGGAGATTTAAGGAATACCATCTCCTGGAAAACTAAACTTCTTTCCAAACTTTTTAACCTCCAAACAGCATTCCAGATTTCAAGAACTAGATGACTTCAAGTGGAAACAAAATAAGCATTTTCTTTCATTTTACTGTTTGTTTATTTTAGCCCACTTGGTAGCACTTCATTTTTGGTTTCAGTGCTTGGTTATGCTTCCTGTCACTCTTACGAGTGTGATGGTATCACACTGTTGGTATCACTCATATCAGTCCTTGCGTTAATACAGCAGCAGCATTGTTGGAGGCTCAGCAGCTCGCACCGATTTCCTGAAACGCCAGGAGAGAGCCAAGGAACTGTCAGAGATCTGTTCTCTTTACAGAGCTGTGCTAGTGAGATGCCTTAGCCAGGCTGCAGGAATGGTGTCACGTGGAAACAAAGATCCATCCTCCCTTTCTCAGGTGCTTTCCTGAAGCTTGGGGTTCAGGCAGGAGAGAGAAGCCCCAGTTGCATTCCCTGTTTTGCTGATACAACAGTGTGTGTCCCACCACCTTGCTCCCAAGGCTTTTTTTCAAGACAACAAGGGGAGACACCAATTCAGAAGGAAACTAGTTGTTAGCTTGGTTTCTCACAAGACTGAAAAAGGAAGAAATAGCCGAAGTATGTGTGTGAACACATGCACATCTCATCCCCCACCTGCTCTTTGGTGGAACTAGGAAGCGTCTGCCAGGTGGAGTAGGAGCAGCTTGTCTGTAGCGTGCTTGTGCACAGCAAGGGGCTGGGAGCTATCTCACCACACACTCCAGCTGTCCCTTGCTATTTGCATGAGAATTTCACACCGAAAAGCAAAGGATGGAGGTTAAACAAATAACGAGATAAATCTGCTCAGAGGGATTTTCTTTTCTAATTGCAAGATGACAAGTTAGTTAAAAGGAAATAATTTGTTACACTTGATTTTTTTTTTCTAGTTGTTCATGCCCATTTAATGATTACAAAAATAAACATGTTCCTTGCATTTGTTTCATGTCCTAGGAGACAATTGGTGAACCTTTCTATTTGCTAGTGACAACTCTCAATCAGAGGATAAACAAAGGACCTGTTGACGCCATAACTTGCAAAGCGCTGTACACGCTTAACGAAGACTGGCTGCTGTGGCAAGTGTCTGAATTCAAAACAGTGGTATGTTTGCCAGTTTGTGTTCTCTCCAAACACGGACAGCTACAAGCTTCTTTTTCTGGGAAGCTAAATTAAGGCTCTTAGACACTAAGGTGATGGTTAAGTACACAGATAATAAAATAGTTATTGCTGACAAGGTTTCAAAACCCAATAGAGGTTAACTAGCTGGTATTTCACCAATATACATTTCACAAATACCACTCCTCGCTTCACAGCATGCCTTAATCGCCAAAGGTTAGGTTTAATGAAGTCTCAGGATATTAAAATTCCTTCTTATTTTAAAATGTACTACAAAAATATAAACATATGCTTAGAATTTAAACTAAATTACACTTTTCCAATGAATGAAAGAATGGAACGCAGAGGTTTTATTTTTCTATTGTGTTTACTTGAGGCTAATCTTCAGGCAGCAATAATTTGCTGTGGGTTTCCATGTTATTAGCTCCAAATTAGCAAGGTTACAGTGAGGTGGATTTTAATTAGTTGCTTGGTTAAAAACAAGGTATCTGGGAAGCCTGGCTAAGTTTCTGAACTTTACCGTAGATTTCTTGCCTTTCTCAAAGTAACTACAAAGTGCTTCCTATTTTACAGTTACAATTATTTGAAAGCTGGAATTTTACAAAGTGCTTCCTATTTTACAGTTACTCACAATTATTTGAAAGCTGGAATTCGCTTACTGATTGTCATTCTGAAACTGAGGGGAGAAGGGATAGCAAGGATTATTGCACTTCAGAGCACGTAAAAATTGTGACCTTCTGAGCAGGAGGTCTGAAATGGCTTTTCAGAACAACCAGAGTACTTTTTTTCCTCAGAATTTACAAATGAATTTGAGTCTGAGAACTTAAAAATCTGCATTTTCAGTCATTTCAATAGCTCCCTTGCTTCTTAACTCCTGGCCCCAGGAGCTGGCAGGGGACAGGTATTCCATCCCACCTGAGCCATGCCCGGGCTATAAGAGGCGCTAGCCGGGGCGAGGAGAGCAGTCGCCACTTGGGGGTGGGCTGCAGCGGTGCAGGTCCGGTGGGTGCGCTTCGCGGCGGTACTGTAATCGCGTTTTCATATCCCTTTATCGATGTTACTGTTTTGTTTTCATCTTCCCTTTTGCTGTTCTGTTAAATTGCACTATTTTAACCCATGAGTTTTGCCCTGTTGATATTTTTTTCCCAAGGCTGTGGGAGTGGAGCGAGTGGCTGCGTGGTTCTTTGTTGCTGGCTGAAGCCAAACGACACAGAGTCACCAGGCATACTTAGGAGTGTGAGAAGTGCAACTCAATAGTGGGCTTTAGAGCTTGGGAGCAGAAACTGACAGGGCAGCGACTGCCATGGCAGGGACACCGCAAGTGCTGGTGGCTTTGGAGGAGAATTCAGTCCTTTTCAGAGCCCATATTCTACGCCTCAGGTAGGGCTGGAGCTTCCAGGTCTTCCCATTTTCCACACTTGCAGTAAGAACCTGGAGGTCCTAAGATGTCACATGCTGGAGTAGACTACATGACCCTGGAAATTTTGGCTGGTCAGCCATCTGTTGGACTTAGCTCACTGGGTCACATAGGAAGCTCACTGAAATGACAATCTTTCTGCGAAGCATTTCTGAATTGTCATTTTCTGAGGAAAGCTCTTGGACTGACAAATTTATAGACAAATCTTCTTATAGCTATTTACAAAGCTGTTGTTGGAAGCTTCATCTGAAGGTACTTCAAGCTAAGTTACCACAGTGTGCATTTGGAGAGGAAGTTTGTGACTAAAAGTTAAACGCATAATACCGTATCTTTCGCTTCCTTGTTTGTGCGCTGAATGCTGGCGTGCATTTGGGATCCAGGGTAAGTTTAAATATATTGCTATATATAGCCATAGGATACAAACCCCAGTAGTTACGCAGAGCAACCATTTTCAAGCAAGCTCAATATGCCCGTTACTAGTAGACTGTGCAGGAACATCTGGTCCTGTGGAATTGATTGACTTTTCTTATTTATAGCACAGATTCAAATTGAGAGCACCTTGGGGGGATAGCTGACTCTGAAACTGCTGAACACTGCCTTAAATACTTTTCCTAGTGCAACTTCTATGCAGGCAGTCGCTGATAAGGTCTTGTGGGCAGCCTGCAGTGTAAGAGGGGAAGTGATCTGAAGGACTTGGTATCGGTGGGGAAAGCTGTCTGCAGATGGATGAGGAAGTGAGAGAGCAGATAGCCTTTCTTGAATGTTGTTTGCTGCTTTTGTACTTTGTATTCCTGTGTTTAAATAGGAAATAATGATACTGTTATAGGGTTAATAAGTCAGCTTTCCCCACTAAGGTCCAGCAGTTTATTGGACTTAGTTGAGAGGTGGCTGAATGTTCCCTTTAAAACTGTCAGAAAAGGAAAGAGGATCCTGCAGTAAAATTACAGAGATGGAGCCCAAGGACTCAAGCTCTGGTGGGACAGCGAAACAGTTTTGGTTGGTGTTTTGTCTAAGATGATTTACACTGGAAACTAAAACTGTGCTGTGAAAGAGATTTAGGTGGAACAGTGAAGTTTTCTGGACTGGGGAAGCAGGCCAGCTGTGCATGTTTTCTCTTCAACAATAGCATTTAATAGGATGCTAAAGTGGAAGGAGTCAGATTTTCTTCTGTCACTAACACCGCTTCACATGCACTGCAATGACATGCAGGACCTGTGAGAGTACAGACAGGGAACCAAGTATTTTCTCCTTTCTTTGGAAGAAAATTTCTGCCTAAAGGACTGCAGGTTTTGGTTCCTAAGTGGAATAAATTCTGAGATGAGTTTTGAAATGCATTTGCACATTTGGTCGCTGCTGTTACATTCTAAATCTTGCAGTATTTTGTTGGTATTTTGTTTTGCCCATTTCCACATCCCCACAATAGCAATACATTAAAGCCTACCTTTCCAGAGCAAAGTATAAAAGCACAGCCAAAAAGAGGTTGATCGAAAGATACTGAAGCACATCTGCAGACACTCAGTGTCCAGATTTTTGAGGTGTGTAGGCACTTGAAGACACAGGGATGCATCTGGTAGGGAGTTCAACTCTCAAATCAGCGGCAGGGCACAAACAAGGGTGTAGGCACTCTGCATACGAATCTCTCCTTTCAGGACTGGGACTTCAGTTCCAAACCAATAAAAGCAGAATACAGACAGGCCCCTGAAAATCAAGGGGACCTCTACAGGTCTTCTCCTAAACACACCACTATGCAGATAACTCTTGGGGCAGAACAAGGAAGAAGTGCTGGGCATAGAGAAAGAAGGAAGGACAGGAGATACTTTCTAAAATTCAGGCTATCTGGAGCAAGAAAATAAGACAACTAAGAAACATGTTGGTTTTGAATTTTACTGGAGCTGTCCCTTGGCTGGACCCCATGCCTTTTTTTAAAAAGGCCACCAACCTTGGGACCAGCCAACCCCCTACTGTTACCCCTCTCTGCTGGAAAGGGTCAGATATTGTACAGACATGGGCTGCTGAAGTAAATACTCAAGCAGAGGAATTGAAGGAAAGATACTTCTGCAAGCACTGGTTCAGTATGAGCTGAGGAGTCGTGTGGTTTCACGCTGTGCTTATTTGAGTTTTGAGAAATTAAACTGCCTTGAAAGAGACTTGGATGTGTTGTGGAGCCTTTTCGGAGGCTGAGGAAGCGAGCCTGCCTTCTCACAGGCAGACGAGCAGCTGCACCCCTTGGTGGATAATTTACTCAATGACTGAAGAAGAAGGGCGGTGCACAGCTGAGTGTTAGCATTTCACTGAAGTGTTTCATTTTAAATAGAAAAGCTACACAATGCAAGTCTGACGTGCGAAAAGTTCTTGGTGGAACATCTCCTCTGGAGACTTCTTCATGTGGTAGACTTGGTGCTTGGGCATTTAAGAGCTACAAACTTCTTTTGAATAGTCACTGCTTATTTTAGAAAAGGGATTTGGGCTGTTGCATTCTTTGCTGAAATGTGTTTGCATTTTTAGATGGGAAGAAATGATTTAATTAACCTGTTCAGCCAACAGCCTTTTATTGAAAGTGAAGCAAAGCCACATGGTGGAAGGTTGTTTAAAGTGTTCAACTGTTTTATGAGTTAAAAGACGGGTGTTAAAAGAAGTGGGAGGGCTGTAAGGGAGTAAAGCAGAGACAGGGAACCCAATTTCCTAAGAAGACACCGTGGTTGTGGTATTAGTAGGCACACTTTGTGTGAGATAAGGAAGCTATTAAAAGCATGTGACATATGGGGATTTTCGTCAGCAGAAAAGGACACAACAGCCCTCGCTAGGAAGCGAGCAGTGCAGATGTTGGCTATAGGAGAGTCTTCTGAATTAGATACAGATCGAGTACCGTACCATAGCATCGAGACTACAAGCCTTGCTTTGTGTAATGCCCATCTAGCCAAAGTTTAACTCCTCTCTATGCCAATTTGTTAGCGGTTCTATAACTTCTTCATGGGTAACTGTTCTGGCTGCTACAAAAGGACCACACAATCAATCTGATTTTTCCTGTATTTCATAGTCTGGGAGACATGGGAGTAGGTTTAAGGCAATTCCGTTATGCTGTACATCATGGTGCTGTCTCCTTTACATACTTGTCTCACTTTTACCAATCAGAAGTTTTTCTTGTTTTTGTTTTTTTTTTTCCTCAGTCTGTTTGATAAATGGAAATATGCTTTGTTCAGCTGCATAGCTGAACAGAGACCAGGGTAATGAATAAGAGCCCTTGAATATCCCAGATTATTTTTCTCTACTTCTAAGAAAATACAGTATTATCATATTTCTGTATTAAGCTCCATCTTATTTATTATCTGCTACAATTGTTAATGGCTTTACTAAATAAGTCATTGTTTGAAATCCATTTTTGAAGAAAACTACAAATCTAAAAACATCTTCAAATGTTATTACTGTCACTGCATGAGTAAAAAAATGTTTTTAAAATTTGTTTCTGTCTTTTAGCTAGGTTCCAAGCTAGTTCAATACAAGTAGTTGCAGATGCTTGCCTTGTTCTCCCTGAGTAGCCCTTAACAATCTTCCAACCTGTGTTAAGCCTTTGCTGAAGAGCACTGTGACTTTGTGTTGGTAACCACTAATTTCTAGTGCATGAAGTCTCAACTCTAGATATTACTAGGTTGACCCACATGTCCTGTAATTTCCTCCTGAATCTTTCTCTAAGTTAACTTGTATTTTTTTCTCTTTGCGAAGTGGGAGAGCTTAGAAAAGAGTCTGATGATATTTCCTTGTGACTTCCATGTGTGAAGTGATTTCTCTTAAATGTTTTCTGACCTTCAGAGCTGATCATAAAAGGGCTTTCATAATTTTACAATCATTTCTCGTTCTTTTTCCAATTCTACATTTTGTGCCTAAATGCAGTGATGGTGACTGTCGGCTTCTGATTAATGGTTTCTAAAGCCAGGGATTGTGCTGTCAGACAGGTTGAATCTGATTTATGAAAGCTTCAGCTACAGAGAGAAGACATAATAATAATTGGCTTTCCTAGCTCCCCATCAATTGCTTCGTCACTTAAGATTAACTTCTGCAGGAAATCATATCAGCAAAACTGTCTGGCTCTGTTGGTTTTGAGACTTTTATGCGTTTAAATATTTCTTCCCATCTGACCACTTCTTTGAGTTGTAAAGTATTGTTATTATCTTCACATTGTGGATACTTTTGATTAAGCAGTCCATAAATGACTTGTATTCCACGTACATAAAGGACCACTACTCTCTTTTTACAGTCCTGTCATCCTACAATGAGCTGAGCAGGGATGGGAGGACTCTTGTGCTAATAACTGAAGAGTCTGCACTTTTATGTGCAATCTGTGTGAGAGTATGTGCTGGAAAGGAAATGCAGCAGAGAAAAAGACAGTTTCTTTTGACAGTCTGAAAGGAAGAGGAAACGAAGGAGAAGCAGGAACATGAATATTGCAGTGTAGAAGTAATGTTAGGAGGAAAGGATCAACTAAAGGAAGGAAGGCTTCCAAGGATATGAAGACAGATCAACACCAGTTAAGTGTGAGTAGCTACTCCAGAATGATCAGTTTGGAGACTAGAAGAGACAAAGACTTTGATTAAAAGGAGTTTTCTAAAGACAAAATACAGTTAGTCCCTGTCCACATTTTTATCTTACAAGACCATGACCTCAGGGCAGTCAAAGTCAAGGACAGGACTGCTGTCTGTTCAGTTGTTCTGTGGGCCTAACCGAGCATGACTCCCTCATTCCTGTGCCAATATATTTTTTTACTAATTTTCCGCATGAAATCCCAACCTGAGGCATGGCATCCAGTCTGCTTCTCCTTCTGCAGGCACTGTTCCCATGTCTCCTCCTCTTCCATTCCGTCTGTCCTTTCTGTGGTCTCATTTTCCTCACAATTAAACATCTCACTGTCCTGATTAAGTTATTCTCAGTTACTTCAGCTACATCATAGTCTTCGTTAAATCCTGATCTTCATAGTTTTGCAGCCCTGTTTTTAGTACTCCTTTTGCTTCTGTAGAAACAGTAAAGTTAATTTATGTCTTATTGGACTACTTTTTTTTCCCCACCTGGGTGTCGGTAATTTCCACTCTTGCTCGAAAGCAGAAAATAGCATTCTACAACTATTAATAACTACCCATTTTTCTAAGAAGAGAGAAAAGTTGTCCCTGCAGCAACCTGGACAGAAGTTCTTTCCTTCACATGACAGTAGGGAAAAAAAATTTTTTTTAGGTGCTTCCTCTGTAACGATCACTCTCCTTCACTGAGTCACACCTGCAGTGCTTAACGTTTCAGTCAAAAGATATGTGCTATACCAGAAATGTCCAACAACCAGAATGGTTCAAGTACGTAGATTTTCCTCTGCCACTTGCAGTCAAGCACTGGCACCTACAACACTTGTTTTAATTCTTTCCTGAGACATCTGCAGCAGAATGTCTGGATCCATGTAGTTGAACAGTGATGTCTCTGCAACGAGCAGGCTACAGCTCTGGAAATGAGTGCTATTATCACTTGGCATTAGCAATCTTTTGCTTATCCCTTTTTCCCGCCTTTTGGGAGCAGTTGATCTGCCTGACCTGACCAGAAATAAGACCGGACTAAAAATATTCCCTGGAGATGGTCACCCAGTCTCATTAGCACCTCCCTCTAGCCCATACTCACCTTGTGTGCAGCCCAGCAGATGAGTTGTGTCCCAGCTAAGAGTACCTGTGAGCTAAAGGGCAGGGGTGTTGTATCTGGACAGGTCGTGTGGGTGTTTTACCTGGAGTAATGACTAATAGTATAAATGACGCTTTTCTGTGCACATCTGGACCATTTTGGGTTGTGTCTGCTGCGACATGCTTTCCCTTTCCACTGCTTCTGCAGAAGCCCTGTCTCTGCTGCCTCGAGAGAGATGGCTGCATGCAGACAGAGACTGATGTCTCCAGGGAAGGTGTATTTTTTTGTATGATATAACGTACTCAGCATAATCTGCTGGTGTAAATATGCATTTTAACACTGCTTCCTATCCACTCAAAATCAGTCATGCTTACCGTGACGACTTACTTAGCAACCTTATCAGATCTCTAGTAGCTTACAGTTTTGCTTTTAAGGCATTCATTTTAAATAAAAGATCTGCTTCTTTTAGAACGTGCATTGTAATTTTTCCTGGTCTCCTGTCTTTTTTTGGTAATTCACTGAAATAGATTTGCACAAAAGCAGAATACAAAATACACTATAGCTACATATCTGATTCTTTGGACACGAGGAATTCTAAATGCTTCATTGTGTAATTCCTTCAAATAATCTTTATTTGAAATTGCTTTAATAATAAATATGCTGAAAATCTCTCAGGTTTGCTCTTGGGAGTTTGTAGGTTCCCCATGCCTGATGTTCCCTGTAAGTCAGTAACGTGTGTTTCTTTCCCCAGACAGTGAACGTTATCTTTGAAAAAATCCCAGAAAATGAGAGTGGAGATGCCTGTCAAACTATCCAAGTTAATGTTCTGGACTGCGACACCATAGGCCAAGCCAAGGAGAAGAGCCTTCAGGCTTTCCTTAATAAGAATGGCTTTCTTTATGGACTTCAACTGGATGAAATTGGTCTTGGTAAGAGCGCATCACTGTGTTATATTTTCATGGAGCTCACTGGTTTCTCTGTCTGGGGAGTTTTCTTTTTAGGAATTCCTACCTTTGGCTTCGATTTTATTATTATTTTTTTTAGCATTTAGGCAGAACATAGCTTTTGTAAGGAATTTCCGGGGAAATACTAGATCATTATTCTACCAGTTAGAACATTGGTACTACATCTGCTTTGCTTCGGCAAGGACTTCAACGTGCAGTTAACAAACACATATTATTTATTGAACACATGTAATTTATATGTTCCTTTTCTGGGTTACATAAGGTGGCCCGTCCACCTAAGTACAGCCGGTTGATAAATTTTGTCAGCAGGTAAGATGACACGTCATGATTATCAAGCACTTTAGTCCCTACCTACTATCCCTCCTACTGCCCTTCCTTCCAACAGGCCTACGTTTCCCTTGATTAGGAGAACCCACAAATACAGTTTATTTACAGTCAGATTAGGTTTGTAGAATAGTTTGCATGTGACTCACAAAGATATGTACAATATCTGCCGATGTAAATACAGCCATTCTGGGGAAGAGTCGAGCCACCTTTCTTGTTGGGTTTTCAAGAGCCCAAGGTCAGATAAAAGCTGGTTGTTCCCACTATACCATTTCCCACGTGCTCCAATAAGAAATCTAACAAACTCTGTATTATTGGCATTCATCACCTCCCAGACTTGCTTAAGATGTTGATACTTTCTTACCTTCTCAGCTGCTGCATTGTCAAGTGATGATAATTCACTGTCGTATCCGACAGTTATATCCACCACCAGTGCCTGACCACCCTTCACAAATACATGTCAGTCTTATACAGGTCATTTTGGTGGTCTCTTAGGAATGGCTTGTGAAACCTTTCTTCTAGTCCCAACATGGTCATAACACCAGGGCAGACTTGTGCAATAAAACAGCTAGATTAGGTGAAAGCATCTCCAAAACCTCCGCCTTGACCAACACAAAGTGAAGCACCAATAGCCTGCAGTAATGGAAGCCACTCAGGCTGTCACCCCAGAAAAGGAATCTGTAGTGTGGGAGTGCACAAACGCTCTCACGTGACCTAGCACAAGGACAGAGAGAAACAGCTTCGTTGGGAGCCACTGATCCAAAAATAATTAGGTGGTGTTTTTCTGTACAAACGTTGGTACAGTGAGAATGCCATTGAGATGTAATTGTTTTCTGTTGATGTCATACTGTAGAACTTGTGTCTGAGGAGCAGCAAAGAGAATTGTTAGATATTGATGGTTCCTCAGAAGTGATGGAGGATGGGATAAGGAAGCTAAATACCATCGGTCATTATGAGGTAAGCACAGATGCCATACCAATGAATCGAGAAGCAGTTTCTCCCCCAACTCCCAAATGCTGTCTGCACAGGAGTATCTTGATTGACAAAAATCTTTAAGAGATAGCTGTGCATCATCAACAGAAGGAAAGAAATATGTGACATGTAACTTTCTTGCCAATGAGTCATATGTTTTCTGTTACTTTTCAGAGGTTTGCTTGTTGCAGGGTTGCTTGGTTCAAACATACCAGGTGAACTGTTACTTCTGTTGAGCATTTCAGTTAAAAGAGCATCTGATTTCCAGCTAGGAACATTGCTTTGAATCTTTCCTAGTTTTGCCGAGTTTTTGTTGCACCATGAGCAATTGTTTACCTCTTCCCACCTCCTATTTTGATTATCTGAACAGGTCGTAGTGATACTTGTGAAAGCTCATTGAGAGTCAGAATAAAAAGGACTGATGAGTTTGTTGCTCTTTTCTTGAGACCTTCTGTGTCAGTCTCCTTCCGTCTTTTTCGGTTTCTGCTTTCATCTGCTGTCACCACTTGTACCGTAAGTTTTTCCCTGTGCTTCCAACTGCACCTATACACCAGTCCTTTCCAATGCAGCAATAATCTGTCCATCGTTGCAACAGCACACAAGGCTGCAGCTGGTGGCAGAGCCCTTGTGGGTGCAGCACATTGCGAAAGCACAGCGAGCAGCGTTGCCTATCTAAGGAGTTTCCACTGACACTAGTCAAAATAGAGGGTGTGAGGCTGAGGTAAAATGTGCAGATGATTGGCTTCAGGTGATATGGTAGCTCACGTTTTGATGCTCACAGATAGATTTTGGAAATGCCGTTAGTATGCTGGGTGCTTTTAGCGAGCTTTCTTCATGCCTCGTTGCTGAATTTGAAAGTCTGGCTCTTAACACGAGAATCAATTTTTATTTGTTTAGAAGTTTTGCTGAGGAGTATAAGTCTGTGTCATGCAATGCCGTATGGTGCTGAGAAACCTCAGCCAGCCCTGAGCACGTTGCTGTCTGCACGAGCAAGTACAGTGCCATCCACAGAGAGGAACAACTCCTGGCACGACTCTTCATGGCTTGGGTGGAGCTCAAGGCTGGTCATGTCTGGAGGAAGCTCATTTGGAGTCGCTTTAGAGATTTCTGTAGGCATTTGTTGCTCTCCTTACCTCCCAAGGAGGCAGCAATGAACCCAGATGTCCTGAGTGTCTTAAATACAGCTTTTCCTGTGCCTCTCTTGAATCTTGCCTATAGATTAGCGTGGGACTTCCCTCCACTCCACATGTGAAGATTTTGTACAAATTAGGACATGGTAGTGTTGCAGTCAGAGTCTATGCAGCAAAGGTCAACGTAGATTTGAATCTGATTAGATGTTTGAACTTCTGTGTAATGTGATAGTACCCGCCCTCTTTACTGCAGGCAGCTATTGCAAGTGCTCCCTAATTTTCCCTGGCAGCTTTTTTGCACTTCTGAGCTTACGGCGTGCCGAGGCTCATGGGTGCCATACCTCATGGCAAATGAGTCTGCTCCAGTTGGTCACTGTCATCCCTGGGCATCTTTGTCCCAGCCCTTGTTTTCATCTGTGGTTTCTGCAGGCAGATGCAAGTTAGGTTGGAGGTTCATTGGTTTTTGCAAAGCTGTAACTACACTAATTATAGCTTAGCAGCTGCCTTATGGAAATTGTGCTGGGTATCTCTGGTCGATATTTTAGTTCACTTTTTCTGGCACTGACAAAATAATGTACATTTTAGGCAGAAGCTTAGTGGCATTTTAGGCAGTGGCTCAGTGGCAAGTATCAGCCATTAGTATGTCTAGTTTATTTTCTTGTATGAACATCAATGCAAAAAGGAATGTAAAGGTGTGCAGTTAGCAAGAAAAGGGGACATTGCATACACAGTGTGAGGGTAGTCACATTGCCTGAGGAACTTCAACTTACATTTCAACAGTGGCTAGAGTTTTGTGGCAAACCTGGAGATTTCTGTTTGTTTGTCTGCCAGCCGTATATGCTAGAAAGTTAACCAGATTTTTGAAACTGGGAAGTACTGCTTTTTTTTTTTTTAAGATATTGCAGCATGAGGGTTGTGTTGTAAAGGTCTCAGAATCATCAGCCACTCTTCAAAAAGCAGTCTTAGTTTGTACACTGATTTTTGAAATGTGTTGGTAGGGGATGTTTGCATTTTTGTGTGGTGTTTCCGAAGGGAGAAAAATACACTGTGCTCGTATTAGACTTTCATGTGTCTCTGACTTGTGTGCTCCTTTTGCTCTAATTTTTTGCTCCTAATAGGGTTATTGATGTGATTATTTATGAGTTCTGCACTATTGTTTGCATGAGAATAACCACAAACCTTGACAAGAAAGTTCCTGGTTATCATGATGTCCTATTTCCCACGCAAGAAGAGAGCTAGAGAACCGCTTTCAGATCTGCTGTCCAATCAGGTCTTAAATTTCTCAGCCTATAGCAAATTTCTCAACATTCCAGGAGCAGACACAGCCCCAGAGAGTGAATCTGAATGTGTGATCTGAATGTATGATCAGATTATAGGGAGGACAGGAGGCCTGGAGAACAAGGAAGAGGCGTACAGCCACACTACTACATCTTCTGTTTTGCAAAGTAGCTGTACTCCGTGTTGTGTGGATCTGAACAGATCTCCCCTCTCTCTGTTTGTCCCCGCAGTAACGCTTGTGACAAAGTAAGGATGTTTTGAGGTGCCCATGGGAGTGGCCCACCATGAAAAGTGATTTCGGTGTCAGGACCCAAAAAGAAGGGCGCGCTTTTTTTTTTTTTTATTAATCTGAAAGAAACAGCAAGTATGGCCGGTGCAGTAATGACAAAGAAGGGAAAGCTCATTCCTCTCAGTGCTAAAAGCAGTATTGGTCCCAGAAATAAAACCTGAAGTGGGGGCTTGGATCAGGACTGCCCTGCACCAATGCCTCTGGTTCCTGGAGGGAAGCACAGTTCTCCTGAGCTCTGCCCGTCTCCCTCAGAACAGGAGCTGACACATTTCAGCACTGAGCTGCTCTCCTGCTTCTTGGAGAGGGAGTAGGGGCAGCACATTGCTCACACCGCTCTGGGAGAGAGTAAGCTTCTGGGTAGCCCTGTTCCTGTTTGCCTATCTTCAGGGCCAAGTAGGAAGACTCTTGTTCTCTCTGGGTGTTTGTGTCACCTCAGAAGCTAGCCTTAGAGCATATTCCCACTTCTAGCGTGGTTTTAAAGTGCTCTGTGTTGTCTGAAAGAGCTCTGAAATGCTGTATGATAAATGGAAACCATGCAAAAGCCCCATATTTATAAAATAGATTGAATTTACTTTTCAGGAGCAAGTGTAAGTGCAGATTTCTGTGGCGCAAGACACAGCTTTTGATAGAGTATCTTAATGTTTAAACTGGTTTCTCACACCGGGCTGGCTGCCAAGGTTTAAAAAACACTTAAATTATTTTGGCAGAGATCCCTTCCTAGAACCGGCCAGTTGTTTTTGTAATTATAGAGGGACATGTACTAGCACTTGGCAAGACCCAACATTTGACAGCAGAGCAGTGGTGCAGTTCTCAGTGGGAGCCGTTTTCGAGTTACTCTTTGATAATAAAAGCATGACTTGCCAGTTTCTTTTAAAGATAAGTTACTATCCTGGCAGCACTATAAATTCAAGGAAGGAGGGGGGAAGATTCTTCCTAGAAATCCCAAGGTGGCTAGATATGGATCTTGACCTTACAGTCCACGGGGCATGAATATTTTGCTCACTTTGGGAACTGAAGTTTGACAATAGTTCTTAGGAGCACCAGGCTAGACCCTCAGCGTGACCCCTCTGTAGGGCATGGGGGGAAATCTCTGGAACGGGCTGAGCTGGAAGAAAGGGGGCCAGAAGAGAAATCATCCCAGTGTTCCCCTCCCTGCCTCACATTCCCATAAGATCCTATTGCATTGGAGACAGAGAATCCAGCCCAGGCAATCTGTAGAGGGATGGGTGCAAGAAGCAGCACAAAACAGTACATGAAAACGAAAATGTCCAAACAGGGGCTGAACCAGAAAAATCAAAGAAAGGGAAAGGCCTTAACGGCCAGCTTGTCGGAAGCACTGCCTTCCCACCTTGTCAGGTAAGGCTAACAAACTGCAGCTGCTGCCCATGCCTGAAAGCCCAGCCCTGGCTGCTCGCTTGAGCCGTGGTGAGAACAGCGGGCTGGCACGCTCCTCTGCTGCCACGGACTTAAGGACAGAGGAAATGAAACCGAGAGTTTCATGAATTCTGGACACTTTTGTTTCAGCAAGATACGTTTGTTTTTTGCTTTCAGATTTCAAACGGAGCAGCCATAAAAGTGTTTAAAAAGAAGGCAAATACCCGATCAGGTAACAAAGAAACTGCCATCTATTTAATCTTTCATGGAGAACGGGCTGGGAATGCGGAGAGCTGAGTTATGACAGGTTGTATCTTGGTCAATAGAAGGTCAGAAAAATTGGCACTTTGGTATAGCTGAGCCAAATGAAGGGCTATGTTACCCCGGCTCTGGGCCTCTGGCAGGCAGAGTGGGCCTAAGAGGAGGGAAGAAGGCAAAGAAAAGAAGGACACAAGGACTTACAGTCCTCAGCAAATGAATGCTTCAAGATAGAGACTCATAGGCAGGAAAGCAGGGCAGGGAAGCCCGGGTGACACAAAGTGCTGACTGGTGATACCACCACAGGGAACATGCCCTGCTCTGGTGCCCAGCGTTGTGCATCACGGACATAGTGGTGCACTGTCCAGAGACAGGCATAACAAAAAAAAATCCGATTTGGAATTTTCCTTATTCTCTTGACTGTGTTTCTGAAAGCTTTGACTTGGCTGTCTCGACAGCAGGTCAGGAGTTAAAGAGTGCTTACAAGGGGTCGGTTCATCTCACCTACCCCTGTGATGCAGGTTGCCTTCAACCCAGCTGGTGGTTCAGGGGAGATGGACTTTCTGTAGCCCCTGGGGAGAAAAAGACACTCCTGGTGTGTGATTCATCTCACTGTCAAAGTGGCTATCTGAAATTAGGAGAATTGTGTCCCTGATGTGCAAGTCACTAGGATGGCGTTGCTGTCTCCCTCGGCAAGAACAGGGTTGTCCGTTCTCAGCCATTGCTCTTAAGCCTGACCTCAGCCTGCCTGCGCTGAGTATTCTTTAATAGAGACTAAACCAATGCAATCATCTCCTCTGCTGTCTGTCGTCCTTCTTTCAGAGGAGCTGTGATTTGCTGCCAGCTTACCCCAGCAGCAGCAGCAGATGCCCTAGCTTAGTGGTTGGAGCTACAGGTTGGTACTGGGGAGGTGCTCCAGCACCTGTGCGTTTCTCAGTGGCTTCCCCCACACCGCAAGCAGGAAAGTGTGACACCAAGCCTGCTTGCTCAGCATCCTGACATGCACTCTGCTGCACAACCCAGCAGAATTCACAAGCTTGTAGCTGTGTGTTTGATTAATGCCTGTTTGCTCTCTGCTTTCTGTTGTTTAGATGTGGACTACTCGGATGAACACTGTCATTTGGTGAGTTCAGTCATTACGCTGTTAAGTGGCCGATTTAATACTGAGCTGCGTTTGTATCTGTGTAATCTCTCTAATCTCTTCATGACAGATTTTACCCGACTCTGAAGCAAACAAAGACGTGAAAGGAGCAGGTCACAAAGGAAAGCAAAAATTCAAAGTGAAGGAAATGTATCTGACAAAGCTTCTGTCAACCAAGGTAAACTGTAAATGCCTTATTTTGAGGGAGGGCTAGTGTTAGGCATGACTAGTTTGGCACAACAGAAATAGAAATTAAAGCAGAAATTACTCACACTTCCTGCATGTATGGCAAATGTTAAATAAAAAGGTAACCTATAAAAATCACTGTGCTAACTACGGATTATAACCGTTTACAAAGATGGCCACATTTCAGGTTTTCTAATGCTAGAGTTCTAAAATTGTCTATTACTCGCACTCTCTATCTCCTCAGTAAGCACAACCTTTTCTCTAAGGTTAAAGAAGAAAGGTAGTCATTGAGCTTATAAAAAGTGAGTTTTGTCACTGAATACCGCAGAGTCCCGTCCCTTCTGGAGGGGCAGCTTTCGGTCAACAATCTCCTCACTCTCTACTAGCCTTTGCCCAGCTTAGGTACAACTTCCAAGGCCTGAGTTTCACAAAATACTGCCCATGAAATAATCTTTTAGGGTCTCAAATTAAGCATCCAAAATAACTATGTTAATTTTAAAAAACAATGTCCTTAGGATTTAGAATATGATTACCTAATTTATACAACGTGCATTCCTTAGGAATAAGCCCTGCTCGCTCCCTCTGGTAATGTCATCTTGTTTCTGACTTACTCAAAAGGGTTATAAAACTCTTTGCAACAGCGTATTACTTAAAATATTAATCAGTGCACAACACTGAGTGTTATGTGATACAAGGGGCCTGAAGGGATGATGATTATGGCCTTCTTGTATTTAAAAATCTATCAATCATTATTTAATTAGATTGTTGATAGCATCTGAAGTAATTTAGGATGCTACCCAAAGTGAGAGTGAAGACCGGTCATTTTTCATTAGCTGTGGAAACTAACATAAGCCCTTAGGAATTACTGGAGTAAAACCGGTAATATCTTATGGTGGAAGGCTGAAGTACAAAAGAAAAGATCAGGCTCTTAGGAAACACTCCTTTAAAGGGCTTTAAATTAATCATCTCCTTCTCCAAAGCAGGGTAGTGCTCTGAACAACAGTGCTGTGATACCCTTCACTGCGAAATTCCACCCGTGAACCACCGTGCACTAAAGGAAATCGCATTGAACCATGTCTCTCTCCCCCTCTCTCTGTCACCCGTACACGCACACAGACACAATTGCAGAGTTTGCCACATGAAATGAACTGGCCAGTAGCGTGTCAAAGCCCTGGGATACACTTAAATCCTTCTCGTTGAGAGAAGATTGTGCTGAGCGGACCTTCAGAACAGATGTGAAGAAGCACAAACGGTGTTTTGTTTTGTTTGCTTCTACTTAGGAATACTCTGTGGTGATGTCAGTGAGTCCATCAGCAACCAAGCCCTTGCTTTTGTTTGCCGAATAGCTTCACTTCTGGATCAGAAATACCCAGATTTCAGTTCTTCTTTCTCATATTAGTGCCTTTGTATGCCACCCAAAGCCTAGAATTGGATGAAGCGCCACAGTCAGTTGGCTGTGAAGTGTTGATGTGCACGTGTTCAACATGTGTCACGGGTGGCACCATGAAGACTAGTGCCCTAGAAAACTGCTTAAACTCCTTTTGCTTACCTCCCTCTGACTTCCACTCACAAGTTCCAAAGGCCTTTAGCAACGGTGCCAACAGTGTCTGAAGAGTTGATGTTGTCTTTGTTGGAACGAGTGATTCTTTCCACCTACGATTTATCACAAGGTTCACCACAAAAAGTCATAGGACACGTGACATCTGAAAGCAGTTCATTATGGTGTATTTGTAGTTTCATTTTTGCTATTGACTGTCTTGTTTGCCAATAACCTATGCCCTAGATATTTGCCACAAGCCTCTTGTAGTTTCTGCGTGCGGTTGCCTTGCAGCACGTCAGCTGTCCAAGACAAGAAATCCTGCTGTTTTCTTGTGTAATAATAGCACTGCTCATTTTCTTACTTTTCAGGTTGCAATTCATTCAGTTGTTGAAAAGCTCTTCAGGAGCATTTGGAGTTTACCCAATAATAAAGCACCTGTTGCCATCAAGTACTTTTTTGACTTTCTGGATGCCCAGGCTGAGAGCAAAAAAATTACTGACCCTGATGTGGTCCATATATGGAAAACCAACAGGTATGTCCATACGATAAGCACAGGAGCGTGGGCCATCTCTGAAAACGTAGTCGCAAAGATGGAACAGGTGTTCTGAAGAATAAGATTTTGGCATGACTGGGTGAAGATGTGGTTTGGCTTTGTGGATCCCAGTAATGTTAGTGTATCGGTTGCGTACCAATACAAACCACCATAGCTTCCAGGACTTCTAAGTCAGCATCCTGACTTCACACTCGGAAGTATCTGCAGGTTGAGAGCATTATTTGAAGACAGAAGGGTGACTGACCGATGTGTTTGCTCTGTAGCCTTTGTTGCCTGATCTCTTTTTTAACATGAATAAGCAGCCAAGAAATGTGCTTCTTTCCATGGGTGCAGTGCAACTAAACTACCATTCTAAAGCAGTTGTGCTACATGAGTGGTTAATTTTAAGGACGCTTGTTCTTTCTCTGTCTAGTCTTCCTCTTCGCTTCTGGGTGAACATACTGAAGAATCCCCAGTTTGTCTTTGATATTAAGAAGACTTCACATATAGATGGCTGTTTGTCTGTAATCGCACAAGCCTTCATGGATGCCTTTTCTCTAGCAGAACAGACACTGGGGAAGGTAATGCTGCCCTTCCAGTCTTTTCCTAACTTCTCAACCAATGTCTTTTTCAACTGTATAAAGATTTAAAGGACGAAGTCCTGCGTCTGCTGACACCCGGGGCAAAAATTAATGGCCTGATTAGGTTGGCTGTCCATTCCTTGTTGCTCTGTCTCACAAGACTTTGAAGAATTCACTGGAGTAGGCAGATACAACTACTAGAATGCCATATTTATAGTTCACTGCTGCTTGTCTTCTCTGCAGTGAGTTTCTGCACAGTGTGTTTATAAAGTCGGTGGAAGAGGATGAAAATTGTAAGATTTTAATGAAGTTTTAAAGATTTTTTAAACAAAGGTCTTAAAAGTATTACCATTGTTTGATGAGTAGTCCAAATTTTGTCTGCCACACACCATTGTGCAGAAAGCATACCTAATAAGCTACCGGGAGCTGTTAGAATACTTGAAAGAACTCTGAAGTTTGAAACAGTTCCTTTCACACTGCTCCCTTTTTATATGCAAAATTATTTGCTGGAGCAACAAGTTTAGAAATCTTCCGTTCAAAAGATCCTTAGTACAGTGTCCAGGTTTTTCCCAAGGATATTTTCCTTTTCTTTGGACCAAAGCAGGAGGCGTTTGTTCAGGCTCATGCTACCAAGAAAACCAGGCTAGAGATTTTTTAGCCTAAAAAAAAAATTAAATAAAAATGGACTAATTTCCTGTGTGATCTGAACCAACTTGCTCATCTGTTAAAGGTAAATAACGCATAACGCACTTATTGATCTTATTTTAGGAATGAAGTGTGATGACTTAAAACTAATCACATCACTTACTTGATGGAAAAACTGCAAATGAGTATGGTCTCGGAAGTTTCTATGCTCAGCATCCATTGTGAAGTACTGCTGATAGAACAGCTCCCATTAGCCCTTTCAAAAGGGATGCTGAAACCTGATAAAGGTTTGCAATGCAGTAAACATCTTGTGGCCTTTTAGTACGAAAATGTATTTGCTTTCATGATTTTTAGACTTTTATCTTAAAACATTCTCTAGCCACTTAGAAAACGAACGCTTACATCATTTCATCACACAGTGGAAACGGCAGTGACAAGATATCACATGGTTGTGTCATTTATTCCCCAGAATTTGAACTAGAGCAGTGACAGGAAACTACCAGCCCCCACTTTTACATTCTGAAAACATGGTTTCCAGGTGGGGCTTTGGCTCCTACCACCAACATCAGCATTTATTTCCTCGGATGAGTCTAAAGCCACCCGGTAGGTGACTGCTGACCTGGGTTGTTGAAGCCCTGGGGAAAAAAACAAATCCCCTTTGGCTGTGCCTGGCGGTCAGCTCTCCACGCTTTCGAACCCCCGAGTGAATGGAGTAGTAGGGACCAAAGAGTTTTAGGGGAACCTCTGCCGGGACAGGATCTAGCAAGGCTCTCTGGCATGTTACCCGAGGGGAACTTTCCACAGCACCGCTGTATCCTGTATGTAAATAGGGTATCAGCCTCGAGCCCTTTGGTTCAGCTTTCACAATCTTTCAGGTCCGGGGAGGGGTGAGGAGGAAGGAAGAAAGAAAACTATGTCTGAGGGACAAATGTTCATCACTCCCGATGGCAACAGAAATAATTCTATGGCAACTGTCATGAAACACAATGCACTGTTACTGAGGTCCTGCGTCTGTTCTTCATCTTTATTTCATAACCTTGATTCCTTGCATATAACCACTGCAAAGAGACATGAGTCACACAAAGAACAGACACAATTAGACGCAATTAACTATGTGGAGGTGGAACCTTAGGAAATCTGTGCTGTGAAAATTGACAAGGCTTCAAATATTTTCTTTTAAGGAAGCACCAACAAATAAACTTCTCTACGCTAAGGACATTCCACTCTACAAGAAGGAGGTGAAAGCGTACTATAAAGCCATCAGGGATCTGCCTCCATTGACCACTTCAGAGGTTGAAGAATTTCTAACTCAGGAATCTAAGGTATGGTTGAGAAGTGGGAACCTCATTTGCTTTCGTGTTAAGTTTTTGAAAAAGGAGAACTACCTGACCAGAGCTGGTTTTCTGTTTTAGAAACATGAAAATGAATTTAATGAGAAAGTGGCCTTGATTGAAATCTACAAATACGTGGTGAAATACTACGATGAGGTAAGCACGTCTGCTATTCCTCTTCAACCTCTTAATGTTAACTCGCGACCTCAGGCCTGTGAGTTGGGCTTGACAAAGGAACCCAGGGCTGGCCTGGAGCGTGACTTAGTGGGGGCCAGTCCAGAGACAGCCCCTCCGTGGTGCAGCCGAGGCTGTTCCCCCTGCCGAGCTGCGTGGGGCCAGAGCGCTGCAGCCCCCGGGGCGGCTGGAGCCCCCACCTCGCAGAGGGGTCACAGGCCAAAAGTTTGAAAGCGCACCTTTACCGTCACTACTGTATTTCACAGAGACGGTAGCAATAAAATTCTCCCTCCCTGCAGTTTTGAGGAAGTTCCTGTAGACTCTAGACTTCTCGTTTTGCTGTGTTTGCAGAGTATCTGCTAATGCCTGTCACAACTCCTGTGCACGCGCTCCATTTCCCTGGAGATTCAGAAATCAGATGAGACTAGCACCAGGGATCTCGACTTAACATGTTGTCAGTACAAACACCTCAGCGGAGCACACTCAGCCTTACAGCAAGAGGTGTCTGCTCCTTTCCCATCAGAGCCCTCTCACCCTCTGCTCTAATAGTCCTTCTCTTAAAGAAGCTGTAGCTTCCAGTCCCTGCTATTGCTCACAAAATAAATCTTTTCTCAACTGAAAGCACTTAGTCACAGGTTACCTCTAAGCTGCTTTGTAAGAAAATCCCTGCCCTCCGTTTTGCATGATAGGATTCTCCGCTCCGTTTTGCTCGGCATCCTTAACAGAGGCTGCGTGTGCCTGCGCGTGGAGGAAGATAAGAGCGAGCTGGGGTGTGCTGCCTGAAGGGCTCGTTACCACTTCCAGCAGGTTGTCTGGGTCTCCCAGCAACCAGACCTTTCTCTCTTTCATCCCCAGCAGCACAGCATCAGCGCTTGCTGCAATCATCCTGCTCTCAGTCACCTGTTAGCGAGCTTACCGCTTCTGAGCTCTAACATCTCAAATTATCTGAGTTCAGCATTATGTCGTTGCCTCTTAGAAGCAGCTTGGGTTGATACTGGCGCTATACTTTATTAAGCTCATTAAAACTGTTGACGCGGGAGACTTGAGAACACTTTTTAATCTTAGTGCCCATTTTTGCTTTTTTGAAGCTAGGACTGGCTAAACTTACCCCATCCTTAGAAGGAAAACCTCCCTCTGCTCTTCTCCCTCTGGCTTTTGACTGGGAGCAGCTCAACCTCGTTCACTGTTAGCTGAGACCTCAGTTGCTTTGTAGAGTTGCCAGCAAAAGCGTTTTCAGACAGCAGTAATGCTCCTTCCTATCACCTGGGCCGGTGCCAAGTGGGCCAGTTAGAGGAAGAGAGGCAGTTTATTGCCCTCCATTTATAGGGCAGAGGAAAAGAAATAAAATATCATTTGCAAATCTGCTCTAGGGTAAAGCTGGAGCACTGGCCTTGCCTCGCACTTCAAGGGATGAACATGTGTTGGATTTGTTTTGGGTATTTTTTGCGCTTGGCTCTGTCATTCTTTTGTGGAAGTGTTGCAAATCCTGTAATCATAATGACTTGAAAGGAAAACTACCAAAATAAAGTGTTAAAGTCAGAAAAGAATGTTTACATATAGGAAGGCATTCAGATGGATTTTTCTGCCAGCAGTTGTTGGAACGCAGAAAAGCAGGCTTAAAAAACAGCAAGTAAAATAAGCACTAAAAAAATGATTCTCTTTTTTGCTAATTGTTAACAGATTGTCAGCAAACTCGAGCGAGAACGGGGGTTTGAAGAAGTCCAGAAACAGCTCCAGCAAGTAAAAGCCTTATTTGATGAAAAGAAAAAATGCAAATGGCTTTGAGCAGAGCACTGACTCACAGCGTCACTGTGGGGGATTTTAAATAAGCGCTACTGCTCCCAAAACTGTTTTGACTGACTATATGTATAGGGTTTGAAACATTTGGACACTCCTCTCCACTCTGACCATTCCAAGTAATATCTACGTTTGGGAATGAAGTATGGGCAGGGTTACACTTTCAAACGTGGGCATGTGAAAGCAAAAGTGAGTCTAGTGTTGGCAGGGCCAGCATTTTTAGGTACTTCAACACACAGACCCTTTGGTTCAAAAATATTGCCTAAGTGAGCTTTCTGCTTGCTTAAAAACAAGCTCATAGGAGATGCACAAAACACACTGCAAGTTCAGGGGTGCCCGTGTGAACTTGTAAGTTGCTACTTGTAAGTGGCTCTTTTTTTTTTGAGAGAGAAAGCTGATGTTGCGCCACGTCCTTTCAGCAGCCTTCGCAAACTGTCTTGGAGTTCCGAGCTCCGGCTTCGGAATACGGGTCAGCTGCAGTTTCCTTCCTTCCAGGCAAATGTACACTGGTTCCTGTTCGGAAAAACAAACAAACCAGCACCAAAGTGACACTTAGGACGAGTGTGTTTAGCAGAAAAAGTGGGTCTGAAGTTTGAAGGCCAAATGCCACATGGCAGGACTTTTCTTCCTGAGGTTAGAAATTCCACGTGCAGGGTGAAGCCAACCACTGAGCGAAGGGGGGGGGGGGCGGGGGGGGAGGGGGGAGAGGCTTTTGGAGAAAGGCACTAGACCGGCATCAGTCTGTGTTTACATTTCTACCTTTCCATCCTTAAATAAGCTGTGAAACACTCGTGAGCAGCTTCTTCACACATGAAACCTCGGTGCAGCTGCACCGCATCGGAATACCGTTGCCATTTGATGAAGCAGCTGACGCTGGCTGCACGGTGGGGCACAAACCTGTCCTCAGGTGCGTGATGGGCCCCGTCCATCAGTGCTGACAGTCCTGCCCGGCCCTCTGCGAAAGCCTCACAAATGTAAAGCCAGCAGATTTATTTAATTTTTTTTTCAGGTTGTCCACACAAAAGGCTTTGTCAAAAGAGGGTCAGTTTAATAACGTGTCAGAAGGGGAGGGCTGGTGTAATCTCTGACTCTGTACGAGAAACTGATACAAACTGGGGGTGGAGGTGGGGAGGGGGTAACTGTCTGCCTTCGTCCTGCTGGCGTGGTTTTTTTGAGGCTTGGCTGTTTTCAAAGGAGGGTGTCTATTACATTTGCATTGGTGGCTAAAATTAGCCCAGCTGGAAAGCAGGTGCGTGGCCACGCTGCTGAGAAGAGACTGGTGCAGTGGCTACCGTGCGAAGCCACGGAGGAGCAGCCGTGGCTCTGGCTCGGCTACGGCACCAGCACAGTCCTGCCCTCCGCTACGCACCTGAAATCTTTTGTTGCCGTGAACTCGGCTTCGGTCACACGGAGGCACTTACTAAGGCTGCCTTAGATCTGAGGGAAGGCGTTGGTGAGATGATACGTTTCCACACATTTCTGGAGAGACCCACCACTGCAGGTGAGTGGCGTAGCGCAGCGGCGAGGGCAGAACCGTCCCCTGCCTTGGCAGCGACCGGGGTGCCACGGGCTGTGAATGGCAGCGGGTGGCCCAAGTTTAGTATCAAAAGCCCGTGCTGGGGCTGTGACCAGCCAGAGACGCCCACGCGGGGCTCCCAGGCAGCGGAGCGCTCGAAATGTTTATTAGTGTGTGCGACTGCGTTGGAGGAGCCCAGCGGCTGCGGTGCAGCAGTACTAAAGCTGGCTGGTTTGGCTGCAGTGGCGACCAGAAGTTGGGACCAGGCACAATCCCGTGGCACATAGCCCGCCAGTGCTGGCGAATGCTCACCACGCTTTGGCAGCAGCGCGGCCGCCTGTTAGCGTGAGGAAAAGCAAACACAAACACGTTGCCTACTGGTCTGCCCCCCCTCTGTGCCATGTGATTGCACAAGTTGTCCCTCTTGCATATCAGTGAGGGCAGCCACCAACCCATACTGTGATGGCTTTTTTTTTCTTTTTTTTTTTCTTTTTTAATTCAAGTCTTACACTTGCTATTAAGTTTACACTTTATACTTGACAGAATGTATGGCTTTGTTCAGGAAACTGCACTACAGTGTTGCAGTACTTTCAGCAGTTCTCATCTCTGCCTGGCACAATATATTGTGGTAAGTTTTATTTTAATTGGAAAAAAACCCCACTCCAACCCTAACCTGTCTTGCCCTCTGTCCTAAAGGAGTGGACCGTGGCTTGACTAGCACTTAAGCTTAGAATACCTGTACTTAAGGGCTTGATTTTTATCATTCTTAACCTTCTAAAGCAGCATCAAATAAATAAATTTAAAAAGCACAGTAATTAATATTAAGGGAGGGGCATGAGCAGATTACTCTTTGCAGTTAGAGAGACAGCTCAGCAGTTCTGTTCCACTTCAGGTATTTGCTGGCAGTGCATTTGAATGAACTGCGATAGTTTTGTTCAACAGTAACCTTCTGTACAGGCAGAAAAAAAAAGAAACCCCAACATTTCTGCTTGAAAAAGCTGTAAAATATAATCTGTTTGCGTGGGTCTGGTCCTGTGAACTTCACTCTATGTGTTTCTATGATGAGAAAACGAAAACCAGTCCTATTCTGTATTTGTACTACTTGCTTGTTTGCTACAATAGCTTTAATGATTTCTAGAGATTAAGTATGTGTTGAAGCAGGCCCTGTAGCTTTAGCCTACAGCCTGGAATAGGATTATTGCCTTTTATTCAAGCCTCCGAAACAGCGTCACTCTGTTAGTAAACCATTTAAAGTCATGCTGGGACTTTGTAACCCATCAAGTGGATCTCACGAAGTGATGTGAAGTATAATTAAGTGATTGTGGCTCTTTTGGTAGGTTTGGGTCAGCACACAAAACATTGGGACACCTTCTGTATCTGCAATTCGCTGTTACATGGACAAAAAAACCCACCTCTGAGTAAAGCTGTATTACGACAACCCAACAATTCTAATAGCATTCTCTGAAATGAAAGCAAACTTCTCTTTAACCTATTTTTCACATGTTTACAGGCAAACTGCTATGGCAAACAGCATATTTTCTAACACTAGCTTACAGAGCATTATTTTGCAGTCATCTAGTTTAAAGTCAAATCTTTCTAATGTGTAAAGTAATTCCTGTTGTACAGAAGTGAATCTGTTGTTTAAAATGAATGGTTAAAAAAAAGTGCAAATGACAAATACATGTTGGTGTTTGTATGGGTTTACCTAGAATAAAATGCATTTGGAGGTTATTTTTGATTGACTTTTGTGTACTTTAAAAATGGTTAAAAAAGAAAGCAAGCACAGGTCGTAGCAGTGCCAAGATCCCGCAGGGCGTGGCGTGTGAGACACGGAGGAGTACCGCAGTAGTCACGGGCCCGCACCCTGCGGTACAAACCACTGCCGTCCGTCCCCCTGCAGCTGGCAATGACAGGAAAAGGCAGGTAGGGTGCAGCACCAGGGGGTGCTGGGGACTTAGGGGTGCTGGCCTGAAACGCAGCAGCTGCCGAGGGGTTTTCCCTGCAGCCTTCCCGGCTCTGGGATGCGGCGGCAGGGCGGAGGCAGGCTGAAGATGCAAAGATGCAGTGCCCGCTGCGCCTCCACGCAGCCCTCAGGAGCCGCGCTACAACTGCGTAGCTTTAGGGCTCTGAGGCTGATGATACTTTCAAAAAAGGCTAAAAATGTTGAAAATGAGGATAACGCGACAAGCGTTCTTTGAGGAGGGTGCTGCAGAGACAGGAAATCAACTCTTGTGCAAAAAGCCTGAGACAGACTGGGAAATGGAGCCCACAAACCAGTAGATAACCATCATTCTTCCTCCTGCTGTTACCCTTTTTCTGCCCTGCAAGTCTCCCCTCGTTTGAGTGCAGTGCCCTGCCAGCCCCCCGACATCAGATGCAGTCTTGCTGAAGGCCACGCAACCAGGGTTGGGGGCAGAAACACCAGGCTGCCGAGCAACCTTTGCAACCTGCTCTTTGCAACCTTAGAGAACCTACGTTTGGCAAAGCTGGCTCAGGTGCAGACAGGTACTTTTTCCAAATTAATCCTGCAGGAGACCGCAGAAATAGCTTCTGTTACTTCTCATAGTTACAGTTTCCCTTGGAGAAGTCTAACAAATTCCCTGAGAAAGTGCAGAAAAATCCTTACACTTACTTACGTACTGCATGGAAAATCAAAAATGCAGCCTTTGGAAGTGAAGAGCTGAGTCAAGGACAATGTCACCATATCCAATATAGTTACTCCAGTTGTCTATTACTGCAGTCTAGTAACAATACAGAATAAGCTATTAAAAGAAATTGCAGTGCCTGTCTCACTGCCTCATACTCTAGTGAAAGTATTTTGGGAGTCCTACCTGATTGCTTTCATTTAGACATCCTTAATGCTGATGTCTGTATCTATCAGACATATCATAAACGAAAACATCTTTATTTCTCTCCATTGATTAAAAAAAAAAAAAAAAAAAAAAGAATTCATCCATTACAAGTTTCGGTTACTAAACTGATAATGAAGGGGAAAAAAAAAAGATTTTAAATAAATAGATTCAACCTTGAATAAATAATTTTATTGTAGTTAAGTAAACAAATTGCAGTACCAACAAATACAAACTTATATTTTCATAATGTGAAGGCAATTTGTTATACTTCATCTCTACTACATTATATTAAAAACCCCCATTATTGCTTATTCCAGTTATAAAAATAGAAGAGGCACATTGTCCAGGTTGGCAAATAAAAGTTTTCAGCATTTTTTCCATTTCATTTCATCCTGTCTATCTGCATGGGAACTTCAAAATAACAATCCCAATGTGGATTACAGCACCATCAACAGTCAAAACAGCAACCCAGCAAAACTCCACACCGAGACAGCAACTTCTACGTTGAAGGAGTAAGAGGATATTATCAAATAAGTTTTAAAGGATTTGTTTAAATTTTTTTTATTTTAATTTTTATCCTAAGTGTCAGCACAACCTAAACCTTGATAAATGTTTTTTAACGGTTCGTGTGACAAGATTATTTCATGTTTTGACTTCCAAATAATTTTACATAATTTATATAAAAACATTTCAAAATGTAGTTAACCTTTCAATGCTTTTGTTTTGAATCATTATATTTGATAATTTATGAAAGTCTATCAAAAATAAATACAAAACTACGCAGAATGTATTTTACGCTATTCAGGCACATACAAGCACATTTTTTGGCAAAGTATTAAAAGCACGTGTGGAATGATTACTAAAAATGATCAATAATACAGCATTGGTAAAGGTATAAAATCAAAAGGCTTCTCGGGTAAGACACAGCCACAGCTGGTATGTGAAGAATCCGATACATCTGCGATTCCCTGTACACCGTTGCTTGCAAAGCAACATGGGGAGTGGAGTGGGGTGGAGACTCCAAGGCCAAACCCTGTGATAATCCAGCAGACATGGGAACGAGATGGCACCACAGAAGAGAAACAGTGCGAAGGATGGGACAGAGTGGAGACACTGCGGCTAAAACCCTGTGATAAACTGGGGACTTGGGGACCAAATAGAGTCCTCGAAGGTCTTATAGAACTGATAAACTGTCTACTTGTTACCCTGAGCCAACAATCTGACACTTTGTTTTGACAAAATGCTGTCCTTTAGTGAACTTTGCTCATTATAATGTCACTATAATACCAAAACACACCTCCATCCCAAAAGCTACCCGCCTCCAAGGTGGCGACCACTCCTCCTTGAGTCTGCACCCTGAATTTTTCATAAACTATACCTTTAAATGCGAGGCAAGAAAATTTTAGACCAATCATAATGAAAGTATTTATGACTAGAGTCACTCAAACTCCACCTTGAAGATAAAAATTAGTATAAAAAATAGCCCGAGAAAAGGGGGATGTGAGGGAAGACACCATCGTGGACTTCTGGGACCAGTCGACGGGCTGAGCCTCTCTTCCCCCCCATAAGGACGCTTGTGGGTAAGATTCGAACACTTGGCTATACCAAGTGCTTCCCCGGGAAACTTAGAAATCTCTATATAGAGTAGTTTTATAACTTAGTGCTTTTGTTAACCGAGCTATATTGCTAGCATTTTTAGTATTCACACGTGCTTTGCAGACAGTCACTATCACCGGCAATCCAAAAGAACTCGTGTATCTGTTGTTTAAATAAACCGTACCGTGCAGGCAGCGAGTCATTTGGGTTTTCTCATTGAGCGCAACCGAAGCGAAGGCCGTGTTAGTTCATGAGCACGACTGGGCTGAAGGTGCAGTCTGCTATTAGTGTATCCAGAACCGTAACAGTTTAATATATTAAACGCGCCCGGACTGATAGTGGTGAATTGGGCATCACTCAGAATTTAAACCTAGCCGCACCGAGCCTCCCACCTCGGTGAGGAGTGTTAGAACGCAAGGGGGTTTATTTTCTGCCAAAACTACTTTGCCCCTTTAACGCAACAGCATGTACAAAGGATAAGCTATTGAAAACTAACGGCATGTAGGGGTTGTAGATTTTATTTAGAGTCCTCACTTTGTGCATCGCCTTCTCCAGCGATCTTGTTTCTAGCCAAGTTCCTGTATGCGCTCCCCGTTACTCGGTCTCTAGATGGTCCAAGATCTTGCAGCTGTTTTCTCTGTGTTGTTTCTAGTTCTTCCAACCGCTTGCGAAGCAGTGAAAGCTCTCTTTGATGCTGTTCCTCCTTGAAATAATAATAAAAAAGAGTTACACACCTACAAGGGACCAAAATGAGCAATAATTTGAGATTAGAGAGATTTTCACCCTCAGAAGCTCACCGGAGTAAGTAAAACTCTTTTAACCACGCAAGAAATCAAGAGCAGCAATGCTGCTTTTTAATAATGAAACCAAAGTGTGAGGCCAACGCTACTTTCTTACCCAGAAGAAGCCACTTAAAGCTTCTTGGGAGAAGGACAAAGTAGGGAGAATTTGAGTTAAAACTGCCCATTTGTTCCATTCTGTAACATATCGTTTGTCTTTCAAGAACTCCTTCCCATTGCGAGGAAGGGAACATCACTAGATGCATTCCTCAAAGTTCCCTTCCTCTGTTCAAAGATCAAATGCTGCTTCCTTAAGACTAAGGTCTGTAATGAAGGACTGTTCCAGGACCCTCTTTCGTTGTGTTGTTTTCAGAACTCGTAATACATCACCACCTGAAGAAGGGGGAAGGACGCTTCAGGCCCCAGAGGCAAGGCAGATGATGACATTATACTGACAGGATTGAGCGACGGTATGTTAGGATTCAGAATTAAACTCCGGAATTCATTGTGCCGACGTTGCAAGTCCTTTAGTCTCTTCTGGAGCCGTGCATATTCTTCATGGGAAACATTCTGCCTAGGAAATAAGAAATTTCTTATTGCTCAAGATCTTTGTTATCCCAAGACAGAAGCATACCTCTCCCCGAGTACTCTGCTGTTTACTATCGCTATGAAGGAATGCGCCATGCCAGATGAACTGGAAAGTGGAAGGCCTGTGCATATTCTTCTGCCTAAATGTCTATCTAGAAGTCCCTCTATATATTAAACTCTCTGCTGTATTACAGATTAGAAATTACATGGAATAAATTAAGATTTTAGTAGCGTTCACAGTAATGAGCCACAGGAGCTACATTAAATTAATTCTTTGAATTGAGCCCTCCATAGGTGCTCAATGAAGAGAAAAAAAATCAGAGTTTGTCTTTCAAAGAGATGCCAAGTCTGTTTCTCTTGCAATTCTGAAGTCTCTTTCACTTCCTTCTTTGAAGGGATTCCTGCAACTATATCTACCAGATATTTTCCCCTCATTTCTCCCCAGACAGCTCTGCAGGTGTCTTGTAAGCTCTCAGCTGCCCATCCTAAATAGATTCCATTCAAAGAATTCTGGTGCTAAAAATGCCATTAGACTGGACTCCAGTTACTAAACTAAGTGTCACGTATCTTCAAAATTACCTCATGTTTGTAAGTCAGATCTTGGGCATTTATCATTTTTCAAATAAGAAACAGCAAAGTTTATTACCTGTTTAGCACCTGGTTTTCTTTTTCTAGCTCTTCTATCTTGGCTTCCAGAAGTTCTAGTTTCTCTTGCATCCTCCTTTGTTTATTATCAGTGAGAGTCTTTCTCTGTCAAACAGACATTTCAAACAGCTAAGTAATGCCTTGATAGATTAGATCCTGTAAAAATTAAATCTACATTGTACATGGTTTCAAAGCTGTGACAGTTTTTCAGATTTTCCTTCCTTAAGATGAAGTGCTGAAGTGTTTGAAGGTTCTGAATCCCCATGCTGGGAAACAGAAGAGACGAGAAATGGTCCATAGCTGCGACTGAAAGATGCACAGCTGTCAGTCACTCGTTGGTCAGTGATTAACTGTAAAACAAACACTAACTGTATTTGAGAATTACAAAAGTCATTCTTTAAATGACCATGTATAAATAAGTATAAGCATGACCCCAAAAAAAATGTATGCGTTCTTTCTTTTTTGGGTTTTTTTTTTTTTGCTCATGTTGACAACTTTTTACAACCTTAAAAGCTACTGGTAGGTTTCATAACCTGTATGTGTCCAATGTATAAAACTGCTAATTAATCTTGAGCTTTTATAAACAATTGATTAGCTTTTCCTTTCAAGTTATTTCAAAAAAGCAAGCTTAGCAGAAGACATAAAATTTTAATATTCCATCAAGGAAAAGTAGAACATCATTTGTCTAGTATCCAAAACATCATCCTTACTAATCAAGGAGTCCACCTCTTAAATAACCGTATATACACACATGCATGCGCATGCGAAAAAAGCCTCACAGAATCCTTGATGTCATTATAACAAAGTTGTTGGCTGTAATATTCTTTTGCATATCACTTCAACCTATTTCTATACTGATCTTAAAGGACCCGATATATTTTGTTACTATATTCAGTAGATTGCAGATAAACTCTCAATAATAAAACAATTCTAGCTGGCCAAAGTAAAGCTGAACTCTTCATAAGCTGGATCATTCATAAAGGAAGAGTCAACATGCCTTTTTCTGAGCAACAGCAGCTCGACATAGCTTGTTCTTCACTTGGTTGTATTTCTCTTCTTTCTCTGTGATGCGCTGAGTAAGTACATGCTTCTCCTCCAGCCATTCTATACGTCTGTATTCTAAAGTCCTTTGAAAAAAATCAGGTTAAAAGATTAAGAGGCTATATATACAAAGCGATGCGTTGGCTTAATGCTCTTAAAATAGATGTGCCTTTTCACAACTCCTACCTTTATATATTTGAAGGATCAGATTTAAATTTGATTGTGCTAACAATCTAATCGTGACTAACAACATTCAAACCTGTGCATTCACATCATCCTAGGTTTTCTTCAACTATGAGGCAAATTTTGAAAACTGATTCCAATAAGCTAGTTAATTGTTGGCTGCCTGTTGGTTGGGCATGTTGCCAAACCGTCTGCAGAAAATTTCTACATTCCAATCAAACAATCACACTGGAACACAACAGTAGACACCTATGCCAAACATCAGTTGTCAGAAGAGCTGACAGCTACCTGCTGTGTTTGGGAGGTGAGATTCAAGAGAACAGGTTGTTGCCCTGTGCAGTCTACTACGCCTTTGTAACAGAGAAGTACAGATGACTAGTGTGTGCTCCCGGCCAGAACAAACACCAGCACGACGGGAAGCTCCTACCAATATGGTTCCTAGACAACATTCCAGCTGAACACACACCACCAACAGCATATGTTATCTGTTCAGGCCTTTGCATGGTTAAAACATACTAAAATTAGGCTGTGTTCTCTAGTAGTGGATAGGAAAGAAGCCAGTTTCTCTCTGCTGCCTTGTTTGTTTGGGCTATCTGCATTGTGGGTCAAAGTAGACAGGAACTAACTGCAAATTACTATAAAAAAAAATAAGTCAAATGGTGATATTCTGTGCAGCAGTTTTTTAGAAATGCAGTCCAAGGCTTGGTATCAGTGCATCCATACCACTCCAATCCTGGGTTGATGCATTTTCCCCTACAGGTACTCTGAATGAATCTCCATAAACCTCTCACCAAACAGCCTTTCCCTTCCCCGCAACAGATGTATTAGAAATCATCCACTCCCATATTAGAACTAGGCTCCTGGCCCACTCGGTACCTGTCACAGTTCTTTTAGCAGACCCAGTGTGGTTTGTACCTTGCTGTTGCCTATAAATATCCACTACTACCCAGGAACCAAAGAGCTTTCTCAAAAAGCACTGCTTTACAGTAAAAGAATTTCAATTGAGACAGTGGTTAAAAATGCCATGAGATTATTTTTTTTTAATGCCACTAACGCTGTTCCTGAAAAGCTTAACAAGTGCCTGTTTGAGCTCATCTCTGATCTGTATCAGTCTCATAGTTTGCCTTCAGGCCTTTTTCTCCTTTCACATTTTCATTTCCAAGCCTAAGATTGACACAGCCAGGCAGGCAGCTGCTTTGCCTACTTACGGCTCAACTGGCATTATTTTATTTATCTGAAACTGTTTATCTTAGGCTTTCTTATCTTTTGGTCCTTATTTCACTTCCTCTTGAAGCCGAGTAGCTTTGGTGCAACTTAACTCTTGGAGTTCAAGTTTGTAAGAATTACTGAACAGAGGAAGGAAGTGCTATTACACACCGAGTCAGAAAAAGAATGGAAACGGGTCCCAAGGCTCCCTGGGTAACAGTAGGACAGACTTCAAGGACTTTACATGCAGACTGCAAATCTGCTTAATTTCTGCAGTATCGGCCTTGGTGCATCTCCTGTTATCTACACACTTACACAACTATCTGTGAGGACTGCCAAGTTCCTTCTGCTGCCTTCCCAGGAAAACCCACTCCTGACTGGTCTAGGGTCCATAAGTAAGTACACGACATTGACAGTCGCACTCAAATAACAGTAACAATCTCACTGAAAATATGAATACACCTTCCTAAAGTAAAAATCCAGGGCATTTAACACGCTACTGACAACTGAACATACTCTGCAGTCCTAATGCAGTAATTTCTTCAAATGTTAAAACTGAAAAGCAATACTTAAACTAATGACAACAAAGCAACTGCAGTACCACTTTGTAGCAAAAGAGAAGTTAAAACAAAAAATTCTATCTTTTGGAAGTTTTCTATTTAATCTGGGACACTGACTTTTTAAAAAAACCCACCAGACAATAGTCCAGTACAAGTTAGACATGTATTCGGTTATTAGGCTAGGAAATACTAAGTAGCCATTTCAGACTAACTGACAATCTTTAAATGTCAGGAAAGTGTTCATTGCTATATGGAGTCTGAACAAGATTTGGTTTCCTTCAGCATTTATCAGCATGTTTTGACAGCGCAAAAAAAGAAAGTGATTATTTTTAATTTTGATGAGAGCAACTAGAAGATACCCAATAAGCTTTTAGTTACCTCATATCAACTAAAAGGATCTAGTGGGATGGGGGGGGGGGCGGGGAGGGAAGTATATACACGCATATACAGACTGGGTCCCTGAAACCTTATCGAAGCATAATCCAATGCTTAAATGCTTTTCTCACCCTTAATGCTTAAACACTTTTAAAAGAACTGCGTGCAAGACTCTAGATCCACTTAAACTAATATAAGTTTGACATTCACTTCAGCATAAATAGGATTTCATTTTATACAAACAGCATATTTCACTAGTCAATAATTAATTGTAACAGACACGAATGGAAACAAACTCCTGTTTTTGAAGTTACCACAAGCAAAGCTTTTATACGTACTGCATAACAGAAGGTGTAGCTATTTTTAAAAATTATCCAATATTTCCTGCTCATTTTTAATTTCAACTTTATTCAGAATCTACAATCCATAGTTAAGTAACCCACGTGAAAGGAACACAAGCAATATGAAAAGGAAAAGTAAAGCCAAAAGGAAGAAAAAAATTACTTCTCTGTTTCCAGTTGAGCTTTTTCTGCCTGAGTCCTTGCATGTTGACATTCTTGTTTCAATCTCTCTATTATTTCCTTCAGCTTCTGATTAGACTCCAGCAAATCATTTTCTGATTGAGAAAGCGAGGCAAGCTGGAGTTGCATGTCATGAATTTGCTAAAAAAAAAAAAAACCCAAACAAATTTTTCTATTTGAGAAGGTATGCAAATAACTAACAATTAATTTTGAGATACTGAGATAGAACAAAATGCAGACACCAACTGACTGCATTAGCTTTTCATTAGCCTTTCTTGTTTGTTTCTTTTCTCCTTGCTCAACAGCTTCTCCAGAAGCTTTACAGGAAATCACTACCAGACAAAGAAGGTTTTCTATTGTAGTAGGAAAAAAAAAAAAGGGAGGCAGGAGTCTTCAGTGGATGATGTTTCTCCCAGAACTCAAGAAATCCAACACTGAGCCCCAGGGCTGAACAGAACAGAACCACACGACATTTAGCAGCAGAGCTGTGGAGCTGCCCAGATTCTTCTCTCTCATAATGCACAATGCGTCACAATCAGCAGTGGCTGCACCAACCAGTTCACAAAAGCAAGTACGTATAGAGTCTGAAAAGTCCAACATCCGCAGCCAGCACACAGAAAGGATGACTTCCCTTTCCTTTTCCTCTCCCCACATAGACACTCTGATACCCCAATTTCTGACTTTGGGAGGAAAAAAAAATATTGCCTTGAACTTCAAGTGCACACAGCTTGCAGACTACTTTGATGCACAGCTATGTTCTTACCTACCAAATAACATCATGGGCAAGCAGGAGTTAAAAGAATCAGGTTTTATTTTCAACACTGCCATCAATTCACTCTGCAATAGAAATATACCTCTTTACACTAGTTTATTCATTTATGAAACATCTGTTAAGCACTTGAAGAACCTTAGATGAGAGATGCAGTGTAAATGCAAAGCATTACCTAGAAACAATTTATAAGTCTCCATGGAAACTGAATCTCCAGTTAAATAGTGCGTATCTGTATTCAATATACCAGTCTATAAACATTCAGCTTTGAAATCCTTGGTACCCACAAAACTCATGAAGCAAAAAGCTGTAATCCATTTATAAAGGTCCAGGAAAGCATGACTGATTTCTGAACACTTTTGCTTTTAAATATCTGTTGTGTGCATTTTGTCCCTCAGGAAAAAAAAGGCCTTAAAAATTCAATCTAATCTTCAAACACTGGACATGGTAACTGCAGGAAAGATTGTATTTCTCTGTAAAACATTACAATCAATTAAACCTTACCTGTTTCAGATCAGCACTTTCACGTTTCTTTTCTTCCAACTCCTCTGTCTGAATAGCTTGCTGTTGAATTTTTAACCTAAAATTGTATAAGACATCCTTATTTTTATCTAATTAAAATATAGATCTTAAAAGTTAAGACAAATCAGCCTGATGCTAGAATATATTGCACAATTTGAAAGGCTGATAAATATTTAACTAAACAATGATTAAAATATATTTTTATTGATTATTAGAATTCATATAGGAGCAAGAAATGCATTGATTTGTTTGCTTTTGGAGTATGACTTCTGCTCATTTTATCATACTGACGTTCATACAAATACAATAACCAACTCAAAGAGTTGGTCTCAGTTTGTCAGTTGCTGATATGGTGCCATTGTGGAAAGAGAAATGGTTTACTCTAGTGCTGGGTCTATGCCAGCAGCCAACATGGACCCAATTTTAAGAAACATGAGTATTGCAAAATTATGTCTTAAAGCTGTTCATTAAAATCATATAATTTTTAAAGATTTGGAGGAAAAATGTTAATTTTTTTTTTTAAACAGCACATTTTTAATTCTGTCTTCGTTTTAAAGAATGCAAAAGATAATTTTGTTTCATTTACAATGATGAACATGTGTGTTATCTATGAATAGTAAACTTCTATACTGACTACTGTAAAGAAATTAGCAGGGAAAAAATGAGAAATTTGTATTAAGGTTAGAAAAGCCACACTACCGCAAACGCTGCAGTTCCTTTTTGCTAGATTCTTCTGCCATCTGTACAACACGTAGTTTCTCTTCATACTGATCCTTTTCAGATTGTCTCCAAGTATCTTGTTCCAGTTTCATTTTCTCTAGATCCGCTAATCTGTTCTCGAGTTCTAACCTGAGACATTATTCAACATGCACACAAGAATCATGACAGAATGCCAGAAGTGTTTAGTTGCTAAGAATGAAATTTTTAAAAGTTACTCAAAACACTCCTCTTTTAGAAGTTGAGCAGTAAATCAACAAACATACTTTTCATCCTGTAAGGCTGCAATTTTTTCAAAAACTTCCTCTTTGGCAGCTTGCACTTTACGAATTAGCTCCCGATCCTTTTCTACTAAAAGCACCTTATGACGTTCAACAGCTGCCTTAAGAATTTCCTTGTCTGACAGCAATCCTGTGTTAAACATTAAAAAAAGTTAAAATGTCATTATTGATATCAACCTGACGAAATCCAGTATTAAAATAACTTTATAAATTGTTAAAAGGGAGCTAAAAGTCACAATTCACATGATAGAATGAACAAATGGGGAAAAAAAAAAACCAACAAAAAAACCCAGAAGAGACATGGCCTTTCTTAGCATAACAGCAACATTTCAAAAACTTTTGAACAGTAACCATTACACTGGAACCTCTGCCTACCAGGGTTTATTATTTTAACATACGAAAGTAATTAAACAGTTGATGTTATTGTAGATTTAAACTCTAAAGCAATTTCTGCTAAGCAGTTGTGTCTGAATTTAAAAAAAAAAAAAAACAAAAAAAAACCAAAAAACCAACCAACCAACCAACAACAAGAAAATAAACCCTCGTCCACAACAGCTACAAAAAGGTAGAGAGAATTGGTTATTTTCTTTTTATGGAAAAGTTTATTGTAAACAGTAACTGGTTACCAGTAAAACCATAGTAACCTGACTACAACAAATTTCACATTTTAATCCACTCATATTACGAAATGAAGCAATTCTAAAATTACAACTCTATAGGCAAGGACCAAAGGTGCAAATTAAAAACGTGTGACCAAGACACCTGTCTTCACTGGCAAATAAGACAACATGCCATTAACAATGACTCCTGGTTATTTAGCTAATTCAGAGATGCAAACGGGATTCCACAGCCAGTGCAGGTTAGCTTAAATCTTGCCTGTATTTAGTTTCGTATTTCATAGGGTCCAACATTTTTAGTTCTCAATAAGCTTTAAGTGCATTGCTGATACAGAAAACACCACTTTTAGTTGCTCTTAGAGAACTAAATATCAAAGCAAGTCAACAGAAACAACTATTCCAGGAAGACGAAGGTATTATTTTGGGGTTATGGCGAATCAGTGAGGACACACCACTTAAAAGATCTGTAATGATTTAAATCACCAACACATAACTAGTACTAGAAAGCTTTGGCTTTTCACTCTAGAAAGCTATTTCAAGTTGCCTTGAATACTCAGCTGTATTAGATAGCTTAGAACATTGTCCATTTTCTTCAAAGAACTAGCTAGAAACGGTATTTTGTTTCACATGGCAGCCTTACCTAATTGTTATCAATACCACAGACACAGAACCAGAAAACAAAAGAACCACCGAAGCCCTACAGTATGTTAAGGTTTCAAGCACAGTGTGAAACACTCTAGAATTTGGCAAGACTAGAAAAAATCACCACATGAAGTACATGATTTGAAACAGATTATGCTCAAATTATGTCACAAATTCACTAATTTACATAGATGAAAAATTGTTCTGTAACTGTTCTTCCTAACCCAGTAGACCAAATGAAACAACACAGTTATTTCAAATACAAAATGAATTGTCAGATCTATGACCTAGACCAGAATTAGAAGGTGAAAGCTGCTGGGGAATATTTGGAGGAAAAGTAATTGTAGTAGTCTAACTAGAAGTTACAAAAGCATTCATTAGAAATTAATTGCACATTTTACCATCCATTTCACTTTGGATCTTGTTTCTCTCTCTTTCTACCTCACTCTTTGTTCTTGCTGCCTCCAGTTTGACATTTGTTACTTCCAATTTATGTGAATGTTTAAGTTCTTCTACCTATGAATTAGAAAAAAAAAAAAAAACAAAACAAAGCAACTAAAATGAAAAAATATATATATTTGCAGCTTTACTGTAAGTTTTTCATGTGGTATTTTGCTAACAAGAAAATCAGCCAAATAACCATAGACTACACTTATTTTAAACATATCTTAATTTTTTTCCCCCCCATCTACTGCTTTCCTGAAGCCAATCCAGAATATCCACTCCTGTAGATAATTTTTAATGTTGATTATATACATACAATAACACTAAAGCTATTGACATGATCTGATTCCCCAAATCATAATCAATAAAAACCCATTAGAGGTTTTTATTAATTCCTCAAGTCACACACTGAAGATTACCGAATGAGTTGTCAGTCATCTTGAAATGCAAGTTTTATATATTCTGTGATTAAAAAAATTAAAGTGCTCAAACACAACAAATATTCCAGGAAGCAGGCAATCTGACTATTGACAAGTATTTCATCTTTAACCAGCCGGTTATTACAAGCTACAGTGTAGAAAAGTTACTCTTAAGAAGCCTTGGTGATATATGCACAGATGGACAGGATTGCCTGTGAAAACTTGGTTTCTGAGTAAATGCTACACATTCTACAAGCTGGCCTCTGAATAGTGGGGTACAAAATACCCCACTATTGGAAATAGTGGAGTATTTCCCACTCATTGGAAATATCTTGCTATGACACTGGTCCAAATTGCGTAACACCCTGATGCCTTGCTAACTCAAGCATTAGCATGTCAGTTCACACATACTTCACTTCTGACTAAAGGTTCCTCAGAGTCAAACTAAAATAAAGTTTAAATTTAATCTCCCCAAGTAAAACAAAGCAGTGATATGCAAAAACAGATTATCAATTGCTCCCCCAAGTAATTTCAATTTGGTAACTACTTATGGTCCCCCTGACCTCCTGGAGTGCCACACTACTTTCTCAAAATCCAGGTCTTCATAGTTCTAAAGTGCATTTTAAATCTCTACAAGTGTGACATACGCATGAAACGGCCTCATAAAAGCAGGAGCTTTAAGAACATCAAATCAAAGACAATTACCACTTGCATGGAAACTTTCTATAGTTTAGGCATTTGTACGCAGTAATTACACGGTCAATGAGAACTAAATATCTAGAGGAAAGCACTTATAATGAAAATCCATTCACAATGACAAATGTAATTACAACCTGCTAGCATATACAAGTGGCAAAAGGTTAAGAATGGCATAGTAGCTTATTAAGTAACTACATAGTGGATTTGGTTGCTTAAATACTAAGTTGAGAACATTTCAGGGCAACTTGCAAAGATTTAAGGTGGCTTTTTTAAGGCACAAAATCTGGAAGACAAATGCGTGCACCTGTGCTCAGAAATAAGTTTGAGTGGGTGCAGAAGGGGGTGGAGGAATCCATACAAAGCACATGCCAGTGTTATTTTGGAAAGTTTATTCACAAATGCAGGATAGCTTTAAGTCAACAGAAAGCTTAAAATAATTCTGCATTCATCTACAAGACTAAAGTTACCGGCTTTTCTGTTAATTCAGAACTAACTAGAGCCTCTCCAGAAAGGTAAGAAAACACAGGGGATTAAATTTGCTACCAGAAACTGACAGATGTGATAAAAATTTATTACCCAATATTCTCTCCAGAAAGGAGGGAATAAGAGCAGAAAGCTAATATTTAGCCAAGTACCAATTTCATTAGGACTAGAATCCTCACTCAAATTTACAGAAAGCAGTGGAAGTATTCTGCAACATTTGAAGGTAAAACAGTTTACCAGTGTTCCAATTTTTCTTGTTTATTCAAATAATCACATATGAAATTGCATAAAGGATGTCTTTTTAAAGTTGTATAGCTGAGGAGTCACTGCTACCAGATAAAACTCTGAATCTGGCATCCAGGCATCCATACTAACCTAATTGTGCTGAAATACTAAACAGTGATGTGAAGTTTCTTAAGCACTTTCAGGTTTTTCCTCAACTTGAAGCCTTCTGATCTTTTTTTCTTAAGTATTTTTCTAGAAATTTCTCTAAGCACTCAAAAAAAAAAAAAAAAAAGAAAGCATACAAGCATAAAACAAAACCTCTAAGATCTGGTGCCAACCCAACAACTAAGATACTCAAGCACATTGCAAGACAATGATCTACTTAAAATGACACAATGCCGTGCTGTACAAAAATGTTTCTGTACAAGCTATGCTGGCATTAGCCCAAGAAGAACGCTGTGCTAATGTGACTATCCTGCTTCTAATATAACCTAAATCTCCGCAGGTGATTCCAATGCAGCTTGCTTCACACAGCCCATTCAGAGGATACTTTTTAAGATCTCCAGAAACCATAGCTCCATTAAAAAAAAAGAAAAAAAGAAAAAAGAAAAAAAAAAATCGATTTCAAGCTCTATTGCACTTTATGCACTTTATGAAAAAGTAATGCTTGTTTCCATCAAATAAGGCGGGCTATTTTCATGAGTACTAAAAACATGAATATAAAGACAGCTCTTTGAGCTCTGTTTTGTTTAGAAAAAAGATCTAGAAAATTAAATAAAAAGGGAATAACCTCAATCCTTAGAGATACTTTTAGGGATGAAGTTTTACCTGTAAAGTCACATATTCTGTAACTTCCAACTGAAATTGGGAAAAAAAAATCCAAACAGATTTTAAATCACAGTAAAAGATATTATGCTATTCTTAATGCAAAATATAAACTTAAACATAACAGGATTTGAAAAACGTATTTTAGATACCATAAAAGCACTTACTTTAGTAGCTAAGGAATTGACTTCTCGTTCAGATTTGTGAAGTTTGCTAGTTAAGAGAATGTTTTGCTCATGACTCATCTGCAGTTCTTTCTCGATTCGATCAATTTGTAGTTCAGCAGACTTCTTTTCTGCCTTGAATAAAGGAGGTATTTGTAAGAGTTTTGGAGCAGGGCTGACTCTTGCTATTCATTTGAGTGGTTCAATTGATTTGGGCTTTCAGATATTACTGACCCTTTATATTATATAACAGTATAATATACAAATATTTATCTTTGCTCAACAATATGGTCCAATACAAGTGCCTTGAATTTTACTCAGAAGTCACAACTGTTTTTACTAACACTGCCTGCACAGAATCACACACATTTTCAATCCTACTTCAGAAGAAGCAGACGTAATCCGACTTCGTTAGGAGGCAGCAGGTATTCCTACCAGTAAAATTTCTGGGCCGTAACACCAGCATGACTATAAGTGGTGCTCGAAAAGATGTCATATGTTTGCCTATGCAGTTATACTAACTGAAGAATTAAGAGGAAACAAATTAAGAGGAAATTAAGAGGAAATAAAATGCAATTACTGTTGAGTATTATAGACTCAAGACCCTGAGCTTTATTAAATATCAAAAAGGCAATCTAACCCATGATTTCACCTTCCTTTTTCTGAACTGACCTATTTCCAGCAGACTTTTTTTTAGTTTTCTAAATTAAGAATATTACAGCACTTTTCAAGTTGTGATCAGAGCATTTTGTAACAAAGGTATACAGCACTGATAACAGTAAAAAGGAAAATGAACCACCTATCTGTATGCTGCAACAGTGTGAGAAGTCTACATGGAAAGACTCACTACCTAGGGAGGTAGCAAGAACTGACAGGAGGGACTGAAGACCACAGATGAAGAATACAGTGGAATCCTGAGAACCATACAACAGGCCAGAAACGCCAACGGTTCTTTAACGGAGAGCAACAGCAAAGAAATAGACAATTGCAGTAATGTGCTGGAGAAAGAAGAGACACAGGTAGGCAAGAAAGAAGACGACACACGAGGAAAGGATTAAACAAATAGGGGAGCATCATATGACATTTTTGAAAAGAATGAAAAATTTACTGTTGCAGATTATTAACATATTGTCATCAGTTTCTAACTCCAGCCAAGTGACAAGTGCTGACACGAGCATCTTACTGACTGCAAACAGTGATATCACTCGCATAGTTAGAAAGGAGATCGTTCAACAGAATCTCTCAGTTGAGCTCTCCACCTTTCCAAAGTTGAACTGGCAGTACATGACTCCCAATTCCCAATGTACTTACAATTTGTTTTTAAATCTGAAATGTACAAATTCAAATTTGGAGTCGATGGCAAAATTATCAGTGACTTCAGTCACAGTTCTATCAGGTCAAGTGTTATTCTCGCCACACTCTAAAAGGAGGCAAAATAAAAATAAAAAACAAACAAACAACAACTTACCTCTAGAGACCTTGCCATAGCCTGCATCTCAGCTAACTGTCGTACTTGTACTCTTTGAACATTTTCTGCTTGCACACCACAATTGTCTCTTTCTGCTCTTAGTTCTGCTACTTCTGCTTCTAAGCCTTTTAATTTTTGATATAGTTGTGCCTTTTCTCTAGAGAGTGCCTCCACACGTTTACTGTCCCTCGTGGGATCAACACTAAGCAGCTGATTATGGAGTTCTTCTTTATCTTTATCCAGCCTTGCAATCTGGTAGTTGTTAATCAGAAAAACAAAAGCTTTTACATTGGTTAGGTGTCAGGCAGCAACAAATACAGCAGTTGACAATTCAGGACAGAGCAACAGCGCGCATTTAAAATATTATGAAATTACATTCACATTTATTTTCTTTCTTAGAGTAGGAAAACCAACAGACCCATTCTTCAAGGCCTTTTCTGCTTCAGTTTTCACTGATAAGGCTTGTTCTCGGACCTCAGATGTCCCTGAGCCCACTAGCAGTCTGTGGTAGTAAAGCAGTACCCAGAATAGAGGAAGAAAGTGTTAGGGATCATTTAATCCACTGGATACACGCAAGTTCTTGGAATGGATCCAACCGTTTTGAAGGAGCTCACTGGTATCATTGCAAGGCTATTCTCTATCATCTTCAAAAAGTCATGGCAATCAGAGAAGGTTCCTGATGACTGGTAAGAGGCACACAGCACATCCATCAAGAAGAGCAGAAAGGTCAAGAAGGATCCAGATAACTACAGAACAGTCAGCTTCACATCAGTCTCTGTGAAAGTTATAAAGCAAACCCTCTCAAAAGCCATTTCTAAACACATGAAAGACAAGGTGATGGAAAGCAGAGTTTATCAAGGGCAAATCATGCCTGACCTACTTCTCTGCTTTCTATGAAGAGGTGACTGGCACTGCAGACAAGGAGAGGGCGGTGAATCTTGTATGCCTTGATTTTAACAAGGCCTTTGATACAGTCTCCTGTAATCTTCTCTCTCACCAAATTGGTAAGATATGGGCTGGAAAAGTGGATGATAAAGTAGGTAGAAAGCTGGCTGGGCTGCCAGGCTCAAAGCTTGATGATCGGTGGTGCAAAGCCCAGCTGACTGCCTGTAACTAGTGGGGTCTTTCTGAGATCAGTACAGGGTCCGATACCGGTTGATGTCCTCATTCGTGATCTGTATGATGGGATGGAGCACTCTTTCAGCAAGTTTGCAGCTGACACCAAATTAGGGGAAAATGGCCAATGTGCTGGAAAGCAGGACTGCTATTCAGAGGACACTGAACAGGCTGAAGGAACCCAGTGCAACAGTACAGGCTGGGGGCAACTGTCTAGGAAACAGCTCCATGGAAAAGGATTTGGGGGTCCTAGTAGACAACAAGTTGAACATTAGTCAGCAGAGTACCTGTGCAGCAAAGATGGCAAGCTGCATTCTGGCAGACTGGCAGAAGCACAGCTAGCAGATCCAGGGAATTGATCCTTTGTCCCCTTCCAGTAGTTTTAAGACTGCATCTGGAGTTTGTGTCCAGTACACAAACGACAAACTGGAGCAAGTCCAGTAGATGGCCACCAAGACAGTCATGGGGTTGGGAAACATGACGTGTAAGGACAGGCTGATAGAACTATGCCTCTTCAGCTTGGAGAAGAGAAGGAGATGTATAGTGATGGGAAGAGAGGCAATGGACACAAGTTGGAACATGTGAAATTCCAATTAGATATTAGGAAAAAAAAATTACCACGAAGATCGTTAAATACTGGAATAGCTTGGCCAGAAAGGTTGTGGAATCTCCATCCTCGCAAATGTTCAAGACTCAACTAGACACGGCCCTGAGCAACCTGATCTCATTACACTTCAATATTTTAAGCAGGATGTTGGACCAGAAGGAGGTGTCTTCCAACTTACATTACAATTCCACAATTCTATAACCACAACAGAACTCAAATCTGCTAGTAACTCAAGACAGTCAACATGACTGCGCCCTGTCAGACAGAAAAGAAAGCAAAAAAAAAAAAAAAATCTTTCTGTTACAAGATAGTACGATAGGTACAAACTAATCTTGAGACTGTAACTAACATATTACAAATATATAGATTCTAGTGTTTCAAAATTAGTTATGTGGACTGAATGTAATATTGGGGCAAACGAGTGAGAAAGTAAGGGATGTAAGAGTTCTTTTGATATTTGGAGACTAGTACAAACTCTGATCTGCAGCAGTCCTTTTAGAAGTTGCTCTATGGATCAAAACCAATTTCTGCAGCAAAAGCCTTCCAAATCTCTTTTATGGGGAGATTCTAACACTTATTGCATGACATGCCCAAGCCATCATTTAAGAATTGGGATGTTTTTGTAGTCTCCTTGTGATAAATGGCATGGAAGGTTAAAAAGGCTATAAGGGAGGGGAAACTAGATCACATCGCACCCTGGGCTCAAGGTAGTTTCATTCTCTGTAAGTGTGCTAATTAGCTGCAGGACTAGCACAAACTCAACAAGCTCACAAAAGTGGCAGGCTGTAAAGCAGCATGTGGGTTTAGCTCCAGGAAGGACAACTGTTCTGTTTTTAAATGCATTGCATTTCCAAATTTGGATTGATTTTGAAAGTGATGATTGCTTTGATTTGTGTCTCATGTTTGGACTAATACATTCAAATCTGGCATCTTAGTATATATGCTTCCAGACAAATACTTAAATGAATATGCAAATGACATGCAACACATTTACACTGCTGCATATATTTAAAACATAAATAAGCTGGCAATTTATTTAGCTACACTTTTGAAAATCCAATTCTGAGACAGAAAAATTCATGAATGGTTTATTCAAGAGTTAATACAACTGAAATAATGTTACTGAAGTTTTCAGTATCCTTTTGACCACCACTGTCATGATCCAACTTAGTTGCAAAATGCAACCCTGGTTGGCATTAACAATATCTTCTCTTGCCTTCTTCTTGAATTAGTTGCCACGTAAGTAATTTAAAGTCTAAACTTACATCGGTTGCTCAGATAACTTATTAATTTCAGAGTAGTGTAATGTCTCAAATTCCATCACAAATGCAAGTAAAAAAAGCATTAAGCAAAGCCACTGGCTGTCATTTATCAGAAGGCGAGCCTATTCTTACTTATAATAGCACAAATTATATTGCAACACATCACGGAACAAACCTAGAGAGACAGCTTTAGGCTAAGTCATAAAAGTATTCTGAGAATTAAAAGAACTGAAACAAACTCTACATTATGAAATGGTGTCAAACTGACAACCCATCAAGTACCAGTATTTTCACAATCATCAAGCAGCTTTGTCATCAGATACATTTTAAGCTACTGGAACATTCTATGTACCTCAGCCTCGTATTTTATTTTCTTCTCTTCTAAAATACGTGCATGTTCTTCCTTTTGATGTTCAAATTCTGATTTCAGAAAAGTGTGTTCATAACGAAGTTTGTTATATTCTGTTCTGTATTTTTCCACTTCCTAAGTTAGACAAAAAAAACATAAACATCAGAGAAGTTTTCAGATTTATTTCCTTCAAAAGTCCATGCAATGTTCCTATCATTTCACAAGTTATATCTGATGAACTGAATCCCTCCTTCTCCCTCTTCTGGGGTTTCAACGTTCACTGCTGGAGCAACAGTACCAGATAAAGAATGTCATACTTTGCTCCCCTTTCAGTTTTAATTTCCCAAGGTTTTAAGAACAACTACAAATTGATGTTCACTACTCTAAATGAAACAGAATTTCAATACTTACTACTTACATTTTCT